ACTTCCGCCAGTAGACCTTCACCGCCACTAGTGGCTTTCATACTACGGTGGCCAAACCTCATGAAACTTGACACTCTCATCACTACTGGCCACTACTAGACAACCCTCTTGAGCCGTTCTACTCATAGCCCTTCCACCTTCTCTACTGCTATGACTTTCATTTGGCCCACCTGGGTATGGTATTGCGAATAATGCTCTATGTTCACCTTCCCATGGAATAGCAGCCACTTGTTTACAATCCGGCCAGCTAAAAACCGCAATCCGATAAGGATGTTCTGGTTGCGCGTAGCCAAATGTAGCCGCAATCTCTCGGCGAGTAGTGGACCAGATAAGTGAGGTCACTTGAGCTGCTACGCTGATGGTCGCGAGACAGGCTCCAGATGAAGTATGAAAGAAATGAATGCATTTATCGTTGCTACCTCCGCCAGTTGCGATGAGACCATCTCTCCAGGGACAAAATGCAATTGCTTTGACAGCAGCTCCATGAATCCAACGATGTTTTTCAGCGCCAGAGGTGATTTCTTTAACACGATTCTGACCGGTTACACTGTGGATGCGACGCATTCCTGCTGTGGCGAGAAACACTTCTTCTGTGGTACCAAGCTGATCACGAGACGGACGGGTGACCTCGTTTGTACGGAAAAGACAACAAAGATTATCGTTCCCTCCAGTTGCAAATGACGAACCATCGGTTGAAAAGGAGAGACCACATATTTGTTGGGTATGGATGGATATTCGGGCAATAAGTGTCATAGAGCCAGACCAGCCATCACGTGTTACTTCCTATGCATCAGGCCATTCAACGGCATAGTAATATACATTGCCTTGTTCATCTCCAACAATCAAATCTTCTGTCTTCACCATAATAGCCGATGCGAGTGGATTCCGGGAAGGTCGCATTGTAATAGAAGGTCTTCAGGTGACGCAAGCTATTGGGGCATGGGCTGCTGAACCTCGAATCTGGGCAATAGACTATCATAAAGTGATAAAAGGCTCAAAGATCCATCTGACCTGCCAAATGCAAGTACAGATTTAGCTCCTTGCGTAGACGAGAATGCCAGAGATGTAAGCCAAGAAGCATTTGAAGTTCCGCCATGAAGCAAATGAACCCCAGCCATTTCGGACCATGCATAAAGCAATGAACCCAAACCAACGGCCAGTGTATGACTTGTTGCGGAGTATGCAAGAACTGAGCAATAAAAGTCGTCTCGTAAATTCGGTGCATCAAGAACTGTGCCGTATGTCAGTAAAAACAATATAACAACAACAACAACGGAGAAACATATTTGAAGGGGGCAACAGGAAGGGTCCTAGGTTCTTGTGGTAGTTGTTGCTCTGTATATTAATTAGAATTGAGTCTGTAAATACAGATAGTATGAAGCAATGTTACTAACTTTGTTCTGGCCCACCCAGTACCCACTCTGTTCCATTCCATGCCGTCTTCGTTTCAAAATTATGCTTCTTGGACCTGGAATCGAGGGGAGTTGCCGGAGGCGTTGTTAAAGAATCCCGAAACTCAAAAACACGTTGGATGCGATCAATGTCCAATGCTTGTGCCAACCTATCTTCATGCTTTTCGAAATCCTCCTGTGCTTTTGGGCGCGAGGCGGAGAAGGATGTAGTATACAATGGTGCATTTGTTCCACTACCTAACAAACCACCGCGACCATCCGAAATGCCAGCGCTCACGGGCGCCACTCCTCCGACAGCCCATACGGTTCCTACACTGACCTGTGGTAATCAGTATAAGAGGAAAACGGGAATAATATCAAATGTCGCATCCCTCCTCACTATTGACGTAGTCTGAAAGGAATAAATGGGAATCTGAATCCATCTGACGTACCTGCCTCTCCCCGTTGGGTGTCGTTGGAGCATTTCTCTGGAAGGTAAGGGCAGTAGCACCTGTAGAAGGATTAAAATAGGGATCAGTTATTGCCGTTGGATATTTTATACCTCTACCACGGTTTGCGGAAACGATTCGTCTGGAATCTGGCCGAGAGGCAAGCGGAATAGGTGATGTTGCACGTCGACGTGGATTGAAAGCATCTAGGCTTGCACTGCTATGTCTCATTAATCTTTCATATGGCGAGAGAGTGCCAGGATCTTTATTAGCACGAAAGCTCTGAGCTGCGGAGTCGGAATTTTTTAAAACTGGTAGAAACCGATCGGGAGAATGCAAAGAGCTGAGAGACTTTCTATTCTGGGTCGGGTCGACTGATGTTCGAGCCCGAAGCGTGTTTAAGAGGGATGGCCTAGTTTTAATATTGGATCGAGGTAATGTCGAGGAGGAAGAAGACATCGGAGTCTTGGGACTATCTGATGCTCCATCGAACCTAAGGCTATTCGGTGCAACCTTTGATAGCTTGTGATCCGTAGCAACCCCATTAATTACATTTTTGGTTCGTATGGAAAGGCTCGGCTTCCATTCCTTTCCATTTTCATCTCGAAAGCGTCTCAATAAAGGATCATAGGTTGTATCGGTGTCTGCAGATATTTGAGAAAATGTCATGGCGATACATCAATGAGGAGATATGGCGCTTACCACTGAATATACTTGACCTTCGTCTGGGAGATGAACTGTCATAACCTGAGTCGTCCGGGGAATACGGAATCTTTGGAGAGCTATTAATCCATCCTTCGTTGAAGAAAGAAGACATAGCAACGCAAAAAGGAATGAGAATCAAGGAGGCCGACGATAAGGTGCAAAGGAACAGCGGCTTATCGAGACCCTCTCGTGAAAAGAACGACAGAAATTAGAAATACTAAACCTCACGCTGTTTTCCTGAAAGAAGAGGGAGGATAAGCAGCAGATGCGTAAGTCCACGGGAGTTTCCTCGAAGATATCCTACGACTTCTTGTTAATGGCCAAAGAATGTCAACCGGGTAAGAGCACCGGCAAAGCCTATAGTAAGGCGATAGAGCAAATAAAAACTATCACAGGGAACAATCATGCATTGTCGGCGACACACTGCTGTACTGCTGAAGTTAGTAATATTGTAAGAATGGCGATATTCCTTCTGGTCCCGGTATTGGACATATGAATAGAGGGGAAGTAAGGGAGTAGAAGTAAGAGACGAGATGTGACGAGAGATATTTGTTCTCGGAAGCAAGTACCAACAACCACCGAACCTGTTTATTAGTTAGCCGACATTGGTCGGTCGGAGTTTTACATGACCAAATTCCGACCCCGCTTGCCGAATTCATCAATCGTGCCCGCACCTTCTCATCTCACAAGGCTGCCCAGCCAGCTCCAGCCACCCCGCCAGTCAACCCGTTATCTATTTATCCAGACAGTTCGTCAAATTCAATCTAGAAAGAGGTTCTCAAAGATGGCAAGCGTATGTCTCTCAAGACTTCGTACTAACTTGGGACTGGATCAGAAGTATAGCATGGTATACCAAGGGTTGCAACGACTGAACAAAAATCAATAGCAGTCCAGGAGAAGGAACGCAAGGACATTGAAGAATACAAGGCTTTGGTACAGCTGATTGAGCTCAAGGCAGGTCAATATCCAGTTGTTCGGGACCCTTCTAATTCTTATGAAAGATCACACAGAAGCAATATACCCTTGAAGTACTCGAGCTCACTTCCAAACTGCTATCAAAGAACCCTGAATACTATACGATATGGAACATCCGCAGGCGCTTGCTAATTTATGGATTATTCTCGAAATCATCGGAATCATCATTGGAATCGCAGTCCCTATCTCCTTCTTCTGGGCCTTCCGAGAGCTTGACGTCTGGCGTAATCTCATCATCCTCTACCTCCACATCTTCAGAGGTCTTGACCACGACCCTGGGCGACCCGCACCACCCGACTCCTGGGAAGAATTCTACAATTCTTGATTTGATACAAGCAGATTTGGATTTTATATTTCCGTTGATGTTGGGCTGGCCGAAATGTTATTGGATATGGAATTATCGATTGTGGTTACTGAAGCAAGCAAACGACCGTCTCACTGCAGATATTGCGAGAGGACTGTGGCAGCGTGAGCTTGTCTTAGTGGGAAAGATGTTGACAAGAGATAGTCGAAATTTTCATGGGTGGGGATATCGACGCACTGTGGTTTCTCAATTAGAAGGTCCCAACTTAAACAGTCCAAGCATGGTCGAATCGGAATTTGCATACACTACAAGAATGATTAATGCCGAGTTGAAAAACTTCTCGGCTTGGCACAACCGGAGTAAACTAATACTAAGAATGCTTAAGGAAAGGCAAGCCACCGCGATTGAAAGGCGGCAATTCTTAGATGATGGTAATTATATCATCGAATTATCACGTTTCCAAGTTATGCTGACATTTCTCCAGAATTTGATCTTATTACTAAAGCTATGTGGAATGATGCATATCCATATGATCAGTCCGTATGGTTCTATCATCAGTTCCTTATGTCAAATCTCACGGAGTCTGTTGGTCACGCAAGCATAGCCCCAGACTTCTCTCGAGAAGATCGTATTGAATATATCAAGAAACAACTTGTCAATTTAAAAGATTTCCTTGATGGCGGTGAAGACTGTAAGTGGGTTTATGATGCTTTATTTGAGTACACACTAGCTGTATGTGAAATGGAGGAGCGTTTGCCTGAACGTGATGAAATACAAGATTGCAAGGCCTGGCTTTCAGAACTGAGGAAGCTTGACCCTATGAGGGCTGGTAGGTGGGATGGTCTCGAGGTCTCTTTACAGAAGGCGAACCAATAATGCATATTGGTATACCCAATTTTTAGAAAGAATGGATGATGGGAACACGAAGACACTCTTACGTCAAATTTTATGATGTATGAGGGACCAATAGCTGATTTCATTCACATGTCGAAATTCTCGTTGCATAAATTTTTTAGAAGGAATATCGGAACGAAATTACAATCCACACAGGGCTTGAGAGGCGTGCTCTTTTCACAGTCATCCTGAAAAGCCTTCCTGCGCAAAAGTCTACATTCCGTCTTCTTTTATGCAACATTATCCGAAGACATCATTCGATCCCCAAGGGACCCGCTAGACTAAGCCGTGAGCACAACTTTTTGAGCCGACGAAAGGAAAGTTACACAATCGTCCTCTTTTACCGCAAGACCAGTATCCATAAATCACAATTCTAAACTAAACACACCAAATTCCCCCCATTCTTAATCTGTTGAAGATATGAACCGTTCCTACGTCTCGCAAGAAAGTCCAGTACCCAGTTGAGGATTATCCAAACACTAATACTCGACGGAAAAATGCAAAGCACTAACTCCACAGGGTTAAAACCGAGCAAATATCCTATTCCCTGTGCTAGCAAAAGTAACGAAGAGCAGAGAGTCTCTGGCCCATACGATATCCATGAGAAGGCTGAGTGAGTGAAGACGCAAGTTGCGAGTATGAAGCTGCAAAATGTGATGGCGTCATGGGATGGCTCAAAATGAAGGTCTAGGGCTTCCAGGATGGGAGTGGTTATCTAGGTTTATTTAGGGTGTTGATTCTGTGGTTCTTGGAAAACTTACTGTTGACATGGGAAAACTGGGTGCTTGGAGATTCCTGCTGTAGTTTAGGCAGATGAATGTTGTGCTCATGAGGAGTGAAGAGCTGGTGTTGAGGAGTGCGAGAAGCAACAGGAAGAAAGAAGTGGACGATGTTTTGCGGAAGCCGGTGTTTAGAACTGAGATACGGAGATCTTCTGCTCTGGGACCTATCTCGTGGCATGTCAAGCTAGATTCAACCAGTGTCTTCTCTGTCAATGGTGAAAGATTCTCTGGTCGAAATTGACGTGGATGAATATCACCATGAAAACCTAGTGATTTCCCATCGTCCACCTTAACTATAGATACTGGTTCTTCCATGGGTAATGCACTTATTTTGCTACTAATTCAAGGTCAACAATATTACCCGGTATCAATCATGATCGAATCTTACGGCGTATTGCTCGATGTGATTCCACTCATACGGCTCATAAGTGTGTTGTGTTCCTGTATTGCTATTGATATATTGAGGTTGAAAGTTCGTACTGATGCTTGATATCCTTCGTGTTATCTGGCGGTTTATATTGTAATCGAAACAACAAGTGGAAGTGATTTTTCACTGCGATGGGAGAAAATCCTTAAATATTCACGCCAATGTATGGAATCCTGCATCGTATTTTCTGCACTAAACCCTGCATCATCGGAAACACTGCATCACCAACAGTCTGTTGCATGTAGTGACGCCTAACTGAGAAAACAGAGAAGGGCCGAGGCTGCAAGAATCTCTCTATTTCATTCTCACCACTGCAGTGATACAAGGAGCAGCAATCATGCATGGGATAAGCCTCACTCTGTACTATCATAGATGGGCAGATTCAACAACAAGGCTTTTTGCTCAACAAATGGGCCACGGGTTTCTTAGAGAATCAATTTGTCCAAGCAGAACGCGTGGCCTCAGATTCTTGAGACACGGACGAGATTTTGTGTAATGCTTTAGATCTCTTATTCGCCTTATATTCTCATGAATCGTTACACACATATGTTGGTCACCCTTTATATATCCTGAGTCTTGCACTTTCTAATTCCATTTTCGCCGCGTACCAAACTTTGATTGCTGAGTCTATAAGCACAGATATTTTAGACGTATAGGTTTACGGCTCCCGATACTTCTTTCCCACCTATGCGTGTACGTTCTCATTTGACAAAGCTCCAAAGATGGCTACAGCACCCGAAGTAAGCCTGTCACAATTCACAAGACCCCATGAAAACAATCCAGAAGACCAGAACCCTGATTCCGAGGCTATCCAAGATGACTCAGGTCGGAACCGCTCTTATTCTCCGGGAATACTAAGGGTCTTATTTGCTATTCTCATCATAGAATGCATCCTTGCGCCGGTCAACATTTTGTCGGGGATGATGGCATCGGAAGGAAAAATATGGAGCCTCGTGTTCGTCTGGTTAGCTATCCCATCTTATCGAATCTATAATGTCCCCAAACTCAAATCATCACAGTGCATTCCTCCTCTGGCTCATTCTACTAACTATCGGCCTTATTCTCTATACTAGCATACATTCATTGGAAATGTTGAATATTACCAAGTAAGGATCATTACCTTCATCATTGACATACACCCCAGCTAACTTGCCCTTAGAAGTACACTTTGGCATCTCGGATGCTGTATCCTGATATTCTATTTCTTCTGCTCGGTTCTGAAGATATCCTCAAGTCTTCTTCCTCAGTGGATCCCGACAATCGTAGATTGTGGGCTCGGCTTTAGTATTGGGATGCAGAGTTTACCGAGAGATTATTTGCATGGGTTGAGGGATTGGGCAATAGAGGTGGTTGGTAGCCTATGCAGCGGTGTTCCATTAAGTTCGCGATATGCGACGAGTATTTCGCCATGAGACTCCAGTGATAGCGAGAAGTTGTAAGATTAGAAGATAGGTTTTATGAGGTTATGCTTCGATCATATTGGGCTATCAGCTTCGGGCATTTTTGGTTTTGGAGTTATGGTTGCCCCAAATCACGAAAGACCGTTGTCTTCGCATATATTAGCTGTTCTCAAAAAATCTGGGGACAAATTGGCATCCTAGGGAGAGCGGATCTTAGTATATAGTATCTATGTACTCAAAAAATAAATAAAAAACAAATTCTTACTACAAGGTTGCTGGAAAAGCATAGCAAGAGAGCTGTCTGAAGAATCTCCGCCATGCACATGTCGCCCTCACCAGCTCAAGAGTCAAGCCCTCTCTAAGAGCCTCAATACTTACATTCTCACCGCAGCCACCTAGCACTGCCTAGCACCGCCTAATCAAAAAGCCCTACCATAGCCTCGCGCATAGGTACATGTTTGTGCCTAGTGCAACGGTAACTATGTAACCATCCATGCACTCCGCCTCAAAACACACTTAAAGCAATTCCAGCCTGATCAACAGTCTTTCTATGCATATGCCCTTTCATGCAGCTCGGGATGGCACGTTAGCTTTGTACTATCACAATTTAGAGATTAGTAGCATTAACGTATCACAAGATTATACGCTAGTACTTTGTATCGCTTGTGCAAAGTAAGCGATGCTTGCCACGTTTTGAGGGTTGCATAAATTAGGTGCGTGATATTGTTGTATCTTATTTGGAGATTTATTGGAGAGATACAAAAAGACGAAATGATTGATTGGTCAATCTATCCATTATGATTCGCCATGCCTTGTTTGTAATTCGAAGGTTTTAAGAGGGTTTAGCGGATATTTCCGTGCACCATCAAATCGTGCAAAAACAGATATCTAAACGCAGAAGTCCGGAATGAAAAAATGAAGTGAATATAATAAAGTAACTAGTGTATAACGTCGAAGGGCTTGAGATGTTATCCTATCATAAGATTGTCCCAGGCCGAGAAAGCGAGAGATCTACCTAGTGGTGTTGAGTGTCCTACTAGGTTTTCTTTGCCACCCTCGACCTTTTCTTCTTTTTAGTACTATCAAGAAGGAATAATGAAAGCAATGTCGACTAGATATATTCTGCTGGTTGTTGTGGTATTGTTGGAATATCTGGAGAGTGCCAGCAGCTGGGGAGATTAATGAATTCACAAAGGCGTGACTGAATCATAATCAAGAGCTCATGTGGAACATTTGAGTCTCATTTTGACTCATAAAGAGCCTGAATATCAATCAAATAGCATACATCTAAGCTCTCAGCTCAGAATCTGTCTCCACGTTATATTGTAGGACAAGACTCTCCATGGTTGAAAAATCCACCTGCAGATCCAAGGTATGCGGTCCCCAAATTTCCCTTTGGGCACTTCATATATCTTCCTTTTCTTCTCTTTGTTCTCAAGGGTTTGTGCCAGTCGCTCTTCGATTTTATCTTTCTCCAAAACGAAGATAACCTTCTTCAGATCTGGATATATAACCCTGGCAGAGTAGCTAGTGTCCATGACATCTTCAATTCGATCTTGAACATTCAACTCTTTTGTTTCCGCGATACCAAGAACAACGAATTTATCTATTGCCGGTGGCTCCTTATGAACCTGATGGACTCTGTCTGTGATAAACTTCTGAAATTGATCAAAATCGAGGAAGCATAGAAGGTCGATCTTTGGATTTATGTACACCGGAACGACAGACAGGTCTCGAAGAACGCAGTATTCGTTTAGAGCGACTTTGCGAGATTCTCGGTTCACATGAAGAAGATGGAAAGGATGGGAAAATGCTGAAGATAGTATCCTCTCGCTTCCAAAATACCCAACCATGCGCACAAGACGTGGGCCAGGTAGAGAATATCTCCAGATTTTGATGCGCACCGTTTCTGGGAGCCGTGAGAAACCTTCCAAGGTTCGTGAGGCTGACAAGCCAGAAGGGTTTTTCGAATCACCCTGGATGATCAAACTGGAGAACAGGGCAGTGATGTTCTGCCAAACCCCCTCTGTAGCCATGGTGAAATATCCTTTTTTCTTTGCTCGGGGTGCTGGTTTGGTTTAGTATTTGTGTAGATGTCAGGGATTGGGCTTAACTTTCGCTCGATATTTGTGGTGTAGCATTTATTTTAAATTTAATCATTGAAAGGAGTAGTAGGGACAAAGAAACTGAATACCAGAAATCTATTCGTAGGTCAAAAAATCTTAAAGTTACAAGGAATGAGAGCACGTCACTGCTCAAATCAATTGGGCTTATCTGTGATTTCACACCTTGTACTTATTTACTGTCCATATCATGATTCTCCTCCCGGCCTCAAAAAATCTAGCATTTTAGATTGATCAATGTTTAAAGTTTTTGAAGCAACCGAGCGCTGCATGTCTGTGAGAATATCTGGTTTCGAACTGACCCGAAAAGCTGCACTTGCAGGTTCTGTCGGAGCACTAACCCATATGATAGGGAGCCAAACCAGCGTAGACTTCTTGAACACTGATTTTTCCGCCATTGTTCACAACAAGCTTCAACGGAAGAGATACGGAGGCAATACTAGCTGCGGATTAACCTATCCTTCTTGTTTGTCGTATCCTTTGTTTCCTGCTACCCCCGCATCCGACGTTCCAAATTCACGTGATACCGCATCTTTATCAACATTAACCTCTGCAGAGTTTGTTACCTCTCTTTCAATACCATATGTAAGAAAGAATCTGGAATAACAGCCAAGAAGGGAATGAAATCGACTAGCCATTCAGCAAAGCATACATTTCATGTGATGATGGAGCGATCTGTCAGGGGGTTGTGAGTTACTGGCATGTCATCCTACAGTGACCGTGCACTGCTACTAACCACAGGTCCTTTTTACACTAAAATTCACTCTTTCCATTTATTTATATGAAAAGAATTAAATATTTTACCAAGATATCATCTTATAGATTTAAAAACATTCATTTGAAGATTCTATAATTTTGATTTTTAAAAAATTTAATTATTGATTGTTGAAATCCTACGAGTTTGACTTTCAAATTTTTAGATTTTACTCAATTGTTACGAGGTTTGCCGTCTAGATCACGTGGAAGTGCTCTAGGCTCTCGAGGTGGTTTATAACTAGGCGTCAAGCAGGGACTTAAGTAATGACAATAATGAAATGCAATTCGTAACTAATAGTAGGATATACTAAATGATTGATCTTGAGCACGAAGCTCTATACAAAGGAAATCCATCTTGATTATATAGTCCTTCATGCTTCCATGATTACTAGTGATCCTTCATGATCATTAGTGATCATCTATATCGTGATCCTTAGTGATCCTTAATGATCACCAGTGATCACCTATACCGTGATCCTTAGTGATCCTTAATGATCATCAGTGATCACCTATACCGTGATCCTTAGTGATCCTTAATGATCACTATTGATCATTTGTGATCACGTGTCTTGGTAGTTGTGTAGCCCGTCGTAACATCAATTTACCGCAAAGATTGAATCAAAATTCTATGTCATCAATTTTATCATTTTCAAACTTGATTTTACTTTATTAAAATTTTAAATTACACATCTAATTCAAAAAAATTCAATTGTTTGATTTTGATCATACTTTTATTCATATTTAAATAATTAAATCTTTTTAAAGTGATTGAGTTGTGGTGTAAAAAGGCCACTCGGCTAGTAGTGGTGCGCTATTAGTACTGTACCTCCTTGAGCTCTTGTAAAACTAGTTGGAAAATTCCTGAATGTGAAAATTCATCGTGGGTGTCAAAATCGCAATTTATAATGAGATGCACTGGCCATGACACTTTGGCTCGTAGTCAGGGACCTCTCAATTCAGCTTTTGGGGATGGTTTTCATTTTTATTAGACAAGCATTTTGTCAATCTATTTCGTCACTCTAAGGACTAACAATTGCGAGAACGGAAAATGAATGGCCAGATCTTAACCGACTGCATTGGGATCCCATCTCGAGAGGAAATCATGACATGGGGCATCATATTCTATTTTCATAACTGTGTGAGGAAAGATCGGACGTAAAACAGCAGTAAGGAAATCATTCTTATAGATTTAGTGTAAGATATCTGCAAGTACTCGCTTTGTAGTCTGTCTTCTATTATTTCCCCTTGAAACTCAAGTAAATATTCTTAAAAGTGTTAGTGGAATGAAAAACACAGTATAAAACCCTCAAACACTCTGTATGTGCAGTTATCTAGTATTTCTACTTAAAAAGAAAATATAGAGGAGTAACACTAGCGCTAGTGTGGTCTAGCTATGCTGAATAAGTATATTTTAAACCTCTTCCCAGTATCTACCCTCACCTCTCAATTCCCAGATGCTTTCTCGAAACTTTTCTATTCTCAGAGAAAAGCTGTAGAGATATCTTGAGGGAGAACATAGACTAGCATATAATAGGAAGACAAATAGCAAGAAAAGAAAATTATCTATCTCGATGACTTCTATCCACCTTGGTGGAATCGGAATATGTACTTATCTGGACACAAGAAAAGTCTAAAAGCGTTACTGCTCAAGAAGTTGAAAAGCCTCGATAACTGTAAAGTTCGGAAGCTAAAAGGTCTTAGAAAAAGCTAAGCATTAGTTTCTAACTAGAGATGATGTCATGACTGATTAGGTCTACCACTAAGTTGGAATCTCAAGAAAAATTTGAAATAGATACTTTTAGCAATATGGTTTTTCGGCCCTTGAGTGTTTGATCCGCAAATCTCAAAGTGATGTTCTCCATGCTCTAAACTGATCTGCTGAAAAAATAAATGATGAAAATAATAAACTAATAAGCATCTCATCAAGATTAATTCCTCTAGGGGATCATTTGTGTCTGTTCAGCGTAATAGAATGAGTAGCGGTGAAAAAAAAGCATTGTGATTGTTGATTGTGGAAAGTCTCTAGATTGTGAAGATTTTACCCGGAAAGATAAGATCTATGGTTCGTTCTGGACTTTCGATGACTTGAGAATATTTGAAAAACTTGACTGTAGAAATAATTCACACAAGTTTGTAAAGCAATAAAAGTAGCTCGCTAGTTGATTTAAATTTCTCAAGGGTTTATCGTAGTCTATGTCCGGATTTGGGTTCATTGCGAAAACAACGTAATGACTGGGTCTTATTCGGTGAGCTGATAATTGCTAATCTGCAAGAGTATATTTTCTCACTATCATGATCATGAAAAGAAGCCTGTCCGACGGACCGATCCTTCGTATTGACTTATTACGGCAAAAGGAAGAAGCGAAAGGAAGATTGAATTGAGATTTTTCCCCCGTACTACTATGAACCAAATCTATGATATCGATGCCGGAAGCATCTATGAGTCACTAAGTCTCTTGACAAACAATTTTTGGTACATCTCAAGAGCCAGTCAAGTAGAATTCGTAGTAGTAGAATGAACTCTATCCTCTAATCCCCAATGGCACTTTGGACTTCCATATAAAATGACTTCCCAGACTAGCCCTTCCATGCTAGCTAGCAACCTTGATATATTCACGGCACATATCCTCAACGCTGCACTGCTTTCGAGAGATCTGGATCGCACTGAAGACAGACCAAGAATATTTCGGGAATTCTATACTCCTGTCCTTGCCGGAGTGGGCCAAACAGCTCCTGATAATCTCGCATAAGTTCTTGAAATCGAGTGCGAAATACCGTCTCACAAAACGAGTCGAAGGCAAAGACTGGCTGAATAAATATTTTCTCCAGTGTACAAAACCTCAAAGTAGCCCATCTCAAAAAGTTCAATTCTAATGAGGTGCTTGTATCCAATGCCATATTTGGGTCGTTCTCCATATCGATCGCGATCCGCTTGACATTAGCAGCCCGAATGTTGTCATTACTCCAGACATTGTTGCTAGGCTAGTGGACGATTTCCGCAAATGTTAGACTGGTGAACTTTAGAATATCCCGCTCGGAGTTGAAGTGTATTGGGCTCTGCATATCATTATCGAAGCATAACCTATACTCTTCGTGTGCAATCGCGCATGACCGAGAGGGTACCGTCAGGGCTTTGATTTTCTCATAGGATGCGTGGAAATCTTTAGCAAGGCAACGTTTACCCAGGTCGCGATGGCTGGTGTGCGCCCAGTTGATAGTTATAATTCGGTTGTCGGTTAATGTTGATTTCCATATCATTTGATTTAGCTCTAAGGGAAGGCCTTTAATAGTCGATGAAGTGTCCTTTGCGAGCTCATATAGCTCCAAAGACAGTTTTGAATCCATGCTGCCAACTTAGTATTTCCATTATAAAGAGAGATCGGACTCTTAAAGACTTACATGTATCAAATCAGTATTTTTGTTCTGTCCAAAACGAATTCGATAGTATTGATACACAAAATTGACGACTATGCTGACCCAAGTTTGACCACTAACTCAACGCGGTAGGGCGGAGGGTGACAAAGTGCAAAAGAGCTCCTCGGAATCTAATGTTTTGAGAACGTTGTAAAAGGGAAGAGTGATTTTGGCTTCCGAAAAGACTGGAATCTAGGACAATTTGTAAGCGAACCATAGAAAGGCTGGAGGGACAAACTGGGAGCGCAAACTGGTGCAAAACCTCGATGTTTTTGAATCCCAAGAATGTATAAAATAATGAGGGAAGATTGCCAAAAGGTGGAATTGTGGTAGTAAACGACTTGAGATTCAGGAGCTCGGGCCTTGCTATCATGTGTCCCATCTTTTTCATCCGTACTTTGAATTTAACTATAAAAGATCTTCGATGAACGCTAATCTTCCATCTATGAAAAGTTCTATCAAGAAAATCGACACTACATAATTAGTCATATGAGCTATCTTTTTCATTATTGGTATGAATATATGCAGTAATTAAGATGTATAGTTATCAGTTGTTTGAAAAAAGACATATAAGTATTTCCAAGTGACTGATTTTGTCATTGTTCAGAATTGTAGGAAGACCCTCAAAGCCTGGAGGCCTACCAGGCCTAAAACTACACATGAAACCAAACACTTGATTTGGAATCAAAGTTATAAGAAAAACAATAAAATTTCCGCAGTTTGATCGTAGGACGTTTGAAATGTTGAGCTAATGATTCATCAACTAGTGGACAGCATATTCTGCATTAATCTTGATGATATCATGCTTTCATCTCATTTAATAAGTTTGCACTGATCACCAAAAATGTCTTGGAAAAATTAGCAAATAAATCCCTGGCTAGGGAGTATATTATAGTTTGATTGAAGAATGAACTTTTGAGGATAAGTTGACTTGAAGTGACGCTGAAAGTGAGGCGTGGATCCCAGGTCATATGACCGGGAACCTTCTTTCACAAAAGTTACGTCCTGTAGAATGACCAGGAACTCTTCTAGATACGGTAGTATAGATGACTTTCTCTATCTGAAGCATATGCTGCATATTAATATGGTGGGTTTTTGACTTTTCCACCCTCAATGAAGAAGCACCAACAACCATATTGTATCGATCTGACTATCTACTTTGTTCCATGGTTACCTTATCAGTTCATGCCTTACTTCTAACCTATACCTTCAATATAGCGCCTGATATTATATGCATTATTATATATCCTCGTACAAGTTTCATATCTCAAGCCAAATTCAATGATGGGAAAATAGTCAGATGGATGCTGCCTTTGCACGCAAATGTCCCGGAACATATAGCTAAGTACTACAAACGAACTAGCCGTTTGGGGCATGAGACACATATGTTATGATTCTTTAGTGATAGATGATAATGGTCTCGAAAAACGATCTTCCTCATCGTGAATTAGGAATACGACAATGCTTACCGAATAATTAAGGGGTAGTGATGACTAAGCAAAACGACCATAAAAAAAATACAACATCAACATAATTTTTCTCTAGAATTTCAGTAATACTTTTTAATTTTGTACAATGGTTACTTCTTCGATTAAATTATTATATTTAGAACTAGAGGATACTTTTGTAGTTTCGATTGATTAGAAAGACGAGTGAAAACTTATGAAGGACGTCATCCTTGCAGCAGGTTTTTATTTTCGCATGAACAATCACAATAATGACATTTTGGTAGTGGAATCAAGTGGTCTAGCCTTACTATATTCAATAGAGTGTGTTAAATTAATGATCCTGTCTCATTATTCTTTTACATATGGAAAATGAGATACTGAAATCTCAGCTAATTAGTCCTATTGTGTTAATATTTCTATCAAACTCTTAAATCTTTTATTTTCTTAAGGCGTATCTGATTCTTTATGGTTCTGACCTCAAATAATTCTTGATCCTCCGCCAAACAATCAAGCGATCGAATTTTCGTCTTTGTACCTTGTGTGAGATAGTGTCTGGCTCTCCATGGATCAACAGCCTACTGACAAAATGAGGAAAAGTGAGCTCTGAAGTGAAAAGACGCTTATTCTTGTTGAAAATAAATCTTTCCAAGAATACCTGATTTATTAACAGAAGAAAATGCGTCTTTTGTACTAAAGTCTCTCGATCTATATTGGTCCAAAACCACTGAAATATACGATACCATGATGGAATTGATACCTGAAGTAAGATACTCAGCATCAGCATTTTCCGGTTCTCCAAGTTAGTTATTCTTGATGTAAGCTCTATTTATTAGATGAATATGGTCAGTTTGGGTTCTACTTTAAGAAAGGTATGGTTTCTGGCATTGTTTCTAGGCTTACCTTCCTATTGGGTTTATTGAGACCAGAAAGAGCATCAGATTGAATTGATTGATTCTCTAGCTAAGCAGTTAAGCTGCGAGTATATATTCAAAAAAAAATGAAGGAATGAGGTTAGGTATTCAGCCTTCGGAATTAAAGTGCTTTGAAATCAAAATATTGAAAGCAAACAAACAGTATACCAAAAAGGAAAGAATGAATTAAAAGTTGAGTTTTGTTTGCTCCTTATATGCATCATGCAATATATATGCATATGCTGCCAAGATCCCAGGAGGTCAACACTTCCTGACCTTTTCTACCTTTCATGTCTCAGAGGGAATTGAGTTCTTCGGAAGAACTGAAGCTTATGGGTGGTATCTTTGAATTTGGTTTGATGGTAAGCAAATGTTTTGCTGACTTGATGGCGAGGTTGACACTCGGATTGTTTTTCGGGCTAGAGAGCTAGGTTGGATGGAGAATTATATTTGTATTTCACAACAATGGTATGCTTATCCGATGGTACAGCTACTTAGTCTCATTCCATGTCTACTTTGTATTCACTGTAATTAGTTGCCTCCAAGGGCGTTGAGGTCGGCTAGAGGCGATTAAATAATACCTTTTGTACCATTCCATTCACTGGTTGTTTACTTAAACAATCAAACCCAACAAACAACAACAAAATCTTCATACTGCGGAAGGGAGGCTGCCTCAGATAAATTGGCCATCCTATTTATACGGCTGTAGGTGTGTAAATTAGATTAGTGTCTACAAAGTTCTGGGACCGTGTCGAATTAAAGTAAGTACAAAAACCTGCAAATTCCTACCAACACTTACCCAATTTCTTCTTACTAATTTATATTTGCAGAAAAATCTTACAATAATCAGAGATGCATCCACAAACTTCCGAAGCTCTCCGACTGGAGGCAGCTTTTGACAGTTTACGGATAAACAAAATTGACGATCCATTCATTATCGGCGTCGACCATAACCTAAGTCCTTATTTCAAAGCAAGGAGTTTATTTTGTCTCTTTTCTAGGCTACCACCGGAGCTTAAGCTTATGATATGGGCTGCGGCTGCCAATGGCCGACAGATTGTTCGCATCAAGCCCCGCGCGAGAGACGGAACAGAAGGTGAAGGATTTCGAGCCGATTACACCATGCCAGTAGTGCTGCACGTTTGTCGGGACTCTAGACGCGAAGCTCTCAAGAGATATACAGTCATATTTAGGGGAATCCTTCGAAATCCTATCTACTTCAATTATCAGCAAAACTACATAGGCCTTGTTGGTAGTAGCACATGTGAGCATTTTGAGATTCGGTCGGGAGAAGATAACGCTATTTGTAAGGAGATCCAAAAAATTGAGAATGTACTTGCAATGGTTACTGGCTTAGGAAGCGGTGAGAGTGAAGAAGATGTATTGGTTTGCATGTTGAGTATTTGGGATGGCGTCAAGCGTCTGATCATCGCGGAGAGTTCACCAACTTGGTGGGGTACATTTAAAGAAATATGGTCCGACAAGGAGGTAAAGAAGCTGTGTAAAGACGCCAAAGCTAACGACATCAGAGAACGGGTTGCCACGCCAGATATTCCTCAGGTCCGGATAGTCAAGTTTGATGATATCTTAAGTGCTGTTGTAAAGGAAGAGAAACAATCCATGTAAGTGAGAACCACCACTAGCAAATTTTGGTATCTCTTAGGCTTTTTTGCATCTATTGAACTAACTACTAAGAACTAGGGATGGAACAACCGCGATGCTTTATTTCTTCGACTCTCTGTTTGAGGCAAGCTCTACATACAATATCAAGAGACAGTCGAAGAAGGCCTGAGAATGAACCTATGGAGTTGGGCTATGAAATGAGAATAGGATAGGAACGATGTAACTGTTATCTTGTTCACGAGTGGAATATTAATTTACGTTACAAAAGCCGGAAGCCCTTGAGAACAGGTTATCTTGTTCCTGAGGGCTAGTTAAGGATACGGATATTTCCATTACTTTTTCCGGTCAGATAGGTCGAAATTGGCGGGGTTTTCTGTAATCTTTGAGATTTTATTTAGAAGCTACTCGTACCCAGAGAATTTCTCTTGCAATATGTGCGTGTGTGTTGTGAATCAAGAGTGCCTATAAAAGCAACAACTCTGTTAATAACAAATGACTTCAGAGAATCATAGGCTCATAAGAGTATTAGCACTTATTTACTATCCCCAACCAAAACTTGGGCTGCGCTATAGTGATCTAAAGGTAGCATATCACGCAAAATACCCTGCAAACTATATATTTATTCCGCAAAGATGGACAATTATTTTCATCTCTCAACTCCCATGATTTCACCGGTAAGATTGCTAGCTGAAGAGATAAGTATAAAGACCAGTTATTTTACGGAATCATCCACTTCAACAAGGTATATTACTGTCTCAGCACATCATTGCTCAATATTTATCATATCGAGTAGGGGGTAGATCTAGAACTTAACAGTTGCCATATTATTAACTACCACTGAGCTCACTCAGATATTGGGTATAATACTAATCTATTTGCATACTTTAAGATGCATGGGAATCACACTATAAGCATCAAATAGTACGGGTGTTAGTGAATGGGAAGGTGGAGTTGAAGGGAGCTAGAAACTGCCTAGATATTTTATCTAATAGCCATTCTTTTCCTCATGTACTACGTTATCTCCAAACTGTCACGTTGTGTCCTGCCCGCCCTATTTACTTTGAACCCCAACCAACTATTCACTCGCAAGATCATATTTCCATTGTGTCCATTCAATCTAACATCTTAAGGGACATTTTTTCATGTTGTACGATCAAAATATCACATACATCGATTCACATTAATCATACACACCAGAAGCTCGAAGGGGAAAAAAAGCAATAGAACAATGTGATTATATTTTGATTATCACAGAAAATTTGACTTCATTTTGGCCCACTAAGTCAAGGAACCATTGCCTTTCGCCCCTTAACATAAATTTAAACCTCATGAGGATATTTTTCCTGCAGTCAGAGAAATAAAGAGCCTGGTTTTAAGAAAAGCAAACATAAATAAGAAAAGCTTATAGTTCATTCCCATCCTAGCCATCATGACTGCGCGTGTTATCAAGAAAGTACCCAACTTTTGAATATCCTAGCGCTGCCTCCCAACACCTTGAAAATCTATGTTGTGCTAGTAGAGCTATCTGTTTCTGCTGTGAATAATTAAAAAGGCAAATATCTCGCTACTCAAGAACAGTTGTCGATTCATTCCAAGGCAAACCCGCGTGGTAGGAAAGCTAGATCACAAGGAAATTGTTGAAGTGTTTTGGAAAATCAAGGGCAGAATGGCATGATGATGAGGTTCTGGACAGCTATAGATGAGTGCAACTAGAATCTAGACAAGCATGTTGAAGAAGGTCTAGAACCTACACAGTTGCTCATATATTTTGACTACGATCAAAGAAAGAACGGAATGATTCGATGTTTTGTGAAAGTTTCTTCATGAGTGAAGCCAAGAAAGGCAGGCTGCTAGAGCATTTGGTGAAAAGAATCGACGGTATGAACAGAGAAGAGGGCCAGTACGAAGTGGTAGCAGAGGCAGTAATTGAGAGCAGATTATAGCTAACGGTGCGAGCCGAATAAGCTCGGAGCTTTAGCAAAAGGAAATAGCAACATTCGATAGTTTGAAATGCCTTCACCGAAATCAGGAGCGGCCTCGGAAGAGCACCAATCTCGTCGCCAGGTATCCATTTATGAAATATCTTCGTGTTCCCCGTCATAATCTAGTTCTTGGCGTTCCGTGCTGCTTCAATAGCCTTGATCGGATCTGAGCGACGAGGTGGCACTTGAGCTGGCTTTTTCATGAGAAAGCCCTAAATTTCGTAGTACTTGTCTATTTACACGTCACTGAAGCTTCGCTGGATTCACTTACAACATTCCGCATCTCCGCTGGCATAACCTGAAACTCCGGAATTTGATCATAAGCTCTGATAGCCTTCCACTCATCCGAATTCCAAAATTTTTGCACGCGAAATCTGAAAGATGGCAATAATGCTATCTCACCAGATAAATTAAGCCCTTTGTAGAAAAACTGGGATTCAAAAGGAATATTATCGGTTCTGATGACGAGCGACTTCAGATGAGGGAAGCTTCGCGCCATTTCCTTTGCCCTCCGGTACCAAGATGTGGGAACAGACTCTTGAATAACTAATCTTTCCACAACTGGAATAACAAGACTGTTTTGAATTATTGGAATAGGGCCATGGCCAACCCTAGAACAGCCGCCCCAGAGAAAACTGAAGCAAGCAGTCATATCAGCAAACATGATCGTGTCGAATCTAGGATTGAACCAAAGAGCTTGGTGATAGAGCTGATCCTCAAAGCACAAGCTATAGTGCTTCATGGCCCAAGAACGAGACTCATGACAAGTCATAAGTATAGCAGGGACTCTGTTGACAGCCGAAAGTCTGTGAATATTAGGATAATTAGGGTGTCTGCCACAGAGTATTTTGTCTCTGTCTGAAATGGGGATACTGGCCTTTTCTTTAGGATAATTTCTCTTTTGAGATGTTCGGAAAGAGTCAAACACAATTTGGTTAAGTTCTTGTGAAGCAAAATTCCAAATCCTTGCTCTTAATTCAACGCAAAGCTTGGGGAATAGCGTAAACTCGGTGAGGATAGGCATCTTGGCGATTTTGTGGTATAAGATAAAGGAGTTTGATATTGCCAAAGCAGACCGAGCAAATGACTATGTGGGATGGCTTCTGGTAAATCGGAGGTGTAGAAAATGGTGAGCTGCCTTTTGACTATGTTAGCACAAACATTTTATGGAAGGAAATGTCAAAAGATAAGTGAATGGATTGTAGATCTTTTTCTACGGCAGTTCATGTTAGGTAGAAGCTTAATATGCTCAATAAACACGTCTGGCAGTATTCATTAGGACTGGGATTGAGATTTAATACAGCCAAAAGGTAAAGAAGAAGTGGTTATTATAGATTATCTATTCCAAAAAGATATTCGCAACCTAGATAATTGAAAGGAAGAATAAAATTATCGAACGATAAGCTTGGGAATTTTTTTTTTCACAAATTTTGATTTCTATACTTGATATTATAAACTAAGAAGTCAAGGATTAAATCCTTTAAATTTAAAATAAAATAAAAATAAAAAACAATATAAGAGTTAATTAACCCTTGCCATATTAAAGAGATAAAGGTTAATTAGTCCTCTTGTCATCGGCCATAGGTGATTTAGAAAGGATATTTATCATTTATTAAAGAAAAAACCAACGTCTAACTCAAAAACTTTCATTTCCTTTGGTAGTAAATAAGTAACCACCTCTATGTTCAAATTCTAAAGGAAGAACTCATAGCAGAGGAAGTAAGTTAATAAATGCGATTTTCAACTCTCCAAAACACCCCTTTTATCCACATTATCCAGAATCCGAGAGACTTACAAGTCTCAACCAAGATAAGTTCTCCACGGGTTCTCAAATTGTCTAACATGATCATGTGAGAATTTGAGATCATTCATGAACATAAACTCGCTTTTAAAACCCTCATATTCCTTACTTTCCCGTCTAACAGCAGGATGCAAATATTTCTAAATACATATTATTAGATAGAGCTGTCTTGATAACATAAGCGAGAGTACAAAATGATACATACCACTTTATGCAAAATATCATAAGGATCCCAGAAAAACAGCACAGGATTTGATATCATTGTCTCCGAGGAATCCCAACTAGGCTGCACTACCACAGATCGGGTTTCTTTGCCCCGATAATCCTCTCTTACGAAATTCCCTGCTCGTTCTTGTGCCCAGTAGCGAATAATTGTATCTCGGCATCCTAAGAGAAGCGAACGATCAGCTTCGTGGACTTCGGATGTGGAAAACCCTGCATTGCGAATCTTTCTATTTGTCCCCAAAGTGATGGATTTGCAGTCGTAAAATCTTCCTAGTAATCTGTGTGTCAAGGGTGATTGTGTCATACCATCAATAACTAAATTTCTGATGTTGATTCTCCTATTTATTACTTCTTGTGCTGCTTGCGTGAGATTTGTCGGAACAAGTCCTTGAAATTCGGAATCCGTTTGTCGGTTGTATCTCCACTCTTGGAGTACATGGAAACTTTCCAATACGATAATATCCTTATCTCCGTTGTAGTATGTCACCTGGTTATCGTTTGTACCCATTGGAATTGCTTGATATGCCTTCTCGTACAATTCCTTGGCAACGAGGCATGAAAGTCTGCAAACAAGAAAGATAGGAGGTAGCTTGTACTCCACGGCTTGAGATCTTGTAGATACTATAAGACTCTTTCTGTATCTAATACCTAGAGGCAGCGGACCCTCGGCTAGCTCCGTTTTTGTGTGCTTGAAGATTTTGATGACGTTGGGAGTAGTTCTTGCGTGGATTCTGCCATACCATTTCCATATTTTTCTTTGAAGCTCCACCGGAAGCTGTAGAAATATATGGAATGTTGTTGCAGCTTCTCTGCTCAGAAACCTAAGCCCGGGAAGTTCTACCCAAGGTATGATACCGTTTATGGCTGGATCGTTTATCCACAAGTTCCCGAGTGAACGATCTTTGTGCTTGATTTCCTTCATCTCTCGTCGATGGCGGGTAGGTGGCATTATGTAGTCAAATTTTTACTGTATTATGGTTTAGCTTGGCTGGTATGGAAAATACCTTTTTGTGCTGCAACTTGGGAAAAGTATGAAGTAGACAACAAAACGCTGGAAGGTCTTTCAAGGAAATAGATTGAAAGATGAGCTGGGGCTTTAACATGTGAGGAAAGGAAACGTACTTGAATTTTCTCAAAGAAAAATACCAGTGAAGCTTTCAGCTTTGTTTACTTCCAAAATATTATCTTGAAGTCAGCTAACCTTGGGCAAACCTTTGGCGAAAATTTCTTGTTACAGTTATAGTGATGGAATGTTGTGATGAGATTGAAATCTATAACTTATGATCTATTCTAGATCCTTAAATAGACTTCATCGACCCGCATCTGTAAGGTCTCATTGGTGTAGGTAGTCGAATGTGAACACTTGGGATTTTGTAACGTGTGGTATTATATCACCTTTTATACTGTAGATTAAAATTATTCAGTAAAAAATACAGACAATTTGAAACGTTTGCATGAGTATGTGGATGATACACCAAGAACAAGCAGTATTTTTTCTTCACTACATTATATTTCACTAGAAAATTATTCACACATTGTACATTGTCCATGAACAGGCAAGATGTCTAGTGTCATACTCATCAATACATGATAGTTTATTCTCTCTTCGGGGTTGTTTTATTATTTCTCTTAAAAGAAGAAGAGGGTCACTTTTCGTTCGGATTTGAGTAGGGTTAAAAATTTTCAAAAGAAACAGAAGGTAATTCACGGAAACATCTTGCTTGGAGGGCAATGATAGGGGCGAAATCGAGCGGGGTGGTGATTTCGCTGGTTTGAACTGTAGGGGAGGGGCTGAAGTCGGCATTCTCGTGTTAATGAAGGGCCGTATGTTAGATGTGGGAAAATATCAACGATTGTAATACGCTTGTAATGTGAAATTCGTGATAATAGGAGAATACAACTAAAAAGAGAAACAACTTGGAAAATGCACAAAAGGACTTAAAAAAAGTATTGAACATAATAGATATCTTTTAAAGTAGGCAGCTATGAGTGCATAGAAAAATCTGCATGCGGATGGTACATTTCGATCTAATACAAGCTGTATCCGTTCTTAATGTAGACCAAAATTGCATTGAACCAATACCTCAATTGTCACATTGAACCGCTGCTTCGTGCTTCTCGGGCCAATTGGTAGTCTTCTGGTAATAAAACTGCTAAAGAGTGTTTCAAACATAATCCCGGTTCCTGTAAGCCCTGAATTATTTTTTCAGAAATTACAGGTTGGAATTACCGAAACGATTATAGCTGATAGTTTCTTGGAGATGGTAATTTTTGATTTGGGGCGAAATGATCGAGTATTGCCCATCGTTGGACCGTCACTGTACGAAATTACAAAGAACTGCCAATCCGATTTCTATATTCTGTCACAATGACCAGAGATATAATGTGGTGGCAGTCTTCAGTCCTTTGAATGCTACCAAGAAACCAGCGTCACACAGTCCTCGACCCCAAGATGGCGGTGCCTAGAAGATGGATATTAAATATGCGCGGTCATAGAGCCGAAAAATATATTCGAAGAACTCCATTCACGCGATTCGAATGATCCATAATATATAACTGGGTCGACTGGCAATTTATAGGCGTCTGAAAGTGTTTCTGGTTGGTTGATCCAGACATTTTAGGCTCGATATCGAGACGTTCCACAAAGCCGCGCTGAAAAATGGCGACTAGCAGTTGTGACCAAGTGAAGCCCGATGTGGCCTCTGTTGACGCGCGGGAGTATTCAAAAATACGCATAGAGCATTTAACGCTAGAATCTAGTTCTAGAATCCAAAAAGCAGGCCAACTTAAAAGGTTATAAGAATTCGATGGACCAATAGCCAGTAATTGGAGATCCAAGTTTTACGGCCTGTTGTAGGGCAATAAACTTACATCCATAAATTTTCGCTCAGCGCTATGGTGGCGCCCGCTCCGGTCTAAGTGTTGGTAAACCCTGCTCTTCATGCGGCGGTAAGGATTTGTATAAAGAAAAGACAGATAGCGTCGCAAAATACTCATTTCGTTGCAGTAACTAGCAAATTCTCTCCAAAGATCCATCACTTGAAAGGCATTCAACTACAATGGATTCCCCGCGGATACTCAAAACCCGCTCAAACATCTACCAGATTGCCAAAAGGAGTCAATATTCAAGGTCAACGTCGACTCGATCAAGCAGAAGTAACTCTAAGTCTAAACCTAAGCCGCTCGAGAATATTGAGGCAGTAAACAAATTGCATTGCGATGATGCCTTATTCTCACCAGCCTTTTCAGTTGAAAGTGCTTCAACCAACGATTCGGAATTCGAGGATAGCGACGAGGAACTGGTGGAAGTTCCCTTTCATCCTCAGTCGAATAGCAAAAGTCTCGACTTCTATAATAACAAAGTGAAGGACTTGGCCAAGACTTATAAGGAGATCATTGATCGAAGGTTTCCCATGGCAGCAGAACAAACACCCCTCTATCTCTCTCGATGCAATCCATCCTCAACTCTTTCCTCTACGGAGAACAATCGACGTTCTCGAGAAGATATCAACAATGCAAATCTCTTGCTTCTTCTTATGGTTGAATGATATAACACTTATTTGCGTGGAGAAAGAGTATCATGGGTATCACGGGCATGAGGAGGATGATGTGTGGATAAGGTTGAGTTGCTGCTCCAGCCACCTTGTTAAGCCACACTTAGAATCTGATAGTGGGGCTTAGGACGCTAGCTCTTTTAAAGACATAGTGTCCATAGGCGGTGGCAGAAAATAATATATCAGGATCCAGCACTAAGAAGGATATCGATGACAATAGTAATATATACCTAATGTAAATAGAGTCGACGATGGTGTATTAACAATATTTATATCAACGAATTTACAACTCACAAGCTCAAAATGGATTAATCCAAATTCCATATTAAACTTCGGGTAAGAATTTTCGTGAAAATTGTAAGATTAAGATCTTATATCATGGGAAGTCAAAAACTTTTACCCCTGTCATCGTTATGTAGCTCCGATAACGCTTAGATTGTTGACTCCCCAATTATCTTTTTTATTCTTTGATATATTTCAATGCCGTCCTGAGTCACTGTAAACTCCAACATTGCATTCTTTTTATCTCTCAACACACTTCATAATGGCTCTTCGATTGTCTGCGAAAAGAGTGACAGCTAATTTGAAAGCTGGAAATTTATCACCAGTTATCAATGGCTTCTTGAAGAGAAATGCTTCTCAAGCAGCGGCAGCTGCAACAAACTTAGCAGATGGAGTCAAGCATGATAATCATGTATGGTATGATGTGCCAATCATGTTATCACCTGCTAATACAAAATACAGAATGAGAGCAAATTATCCAATCCAGATCCTTCACCAAATTCGCCAACAGGACGTCTCGTCTCAGAACAAGCACCATACATGGTTGCAACCTATGCCCGACCACCACCAATGTTTTTGAAGGGAGCCGGGTGTTATCTTTGGGATACAGAGAACAGGAGATACTTGGATTTCACAGCTGGTATAGCAGTCAATGCTTTAGGACATTGTGACCCAGAAATCGCAAGGATAATGCTAGAACAAGTAAGCTCTGTCAGTTATCTTCTTCCAAGTGACTCATCTAATACAGGTCAACAAATTAGGGAACAACTCTTATACATACTTCTAATCTATACCATAATCCATGGACCGGGGCTCTCTCTCAACTCCTCATCGAAAAGACTCTAGAATCAAATTCAATGCACGATGCTCAAGCTGTTTTCATCTGCAACTCTGGCAGTGAAGCTAATGAGGCCGCAATAAAGTTCGCTCGAAAGTCTGGAAAGGTTGTTGATCCGTCAGGTGCCAAACATGAAGTGGTTTCGTTCCAAAATTCTTTCCACGGCCGAACCATGGGCTCATTATCTGCAACTCCGAACCCAAAATATCAAAAGCCATTTGCCCCAATGTTACCGGGATTTAAATATGGAACATATAACGATGTGGATGCCATCAAGGATTTAGTTACGGAAAAGACCTGTGGTGTTATAGTAGAGCCAATTCAAGGAGAAGGTGGTGTCATTGTGGCGACCGAAGAATTCCTTACTGCACTTGCAGCTCGTTGTCATGAAGTTGGTGCAGTCCTCATCTATGATGAAATACAATGTGGGCTTTCACGAACGGGAACATTCTGGGCCCATTCTTCGTTGCCAAAATCGGCTCATCCAGACATTATTACTACGGCCAAGGCTCTCGGAAATGGTTTCCCCATTGGAGCAACAATTGTCAACAAAAATGTAACGGAAAAGATCAAGGTTGGTGATCACGGAACTACCTTTGGTGGAAACCCATTGGGATCCAGGATCGCTCATTACATTGTTTCTCGATTATCTGATCCATCATTACAAAAAGATGTCATCAGAAAATCGGATATATTCAAGAAACATTTCCAATTATTACAATCTAAATACCCAGAACTCGTCAAAGAAGTCAGAGGTAGAGGATTACACTTGGGTTTACAATTAAGCCGAGATCCCACTCCGGTTGTCACAGCTGCTAGAGAAAGAGGTTTACTGATCATTACGGCTGGAACCAACACCTTGAGATTCGTACCAAGCTTGAATATTACCGATGGAGAAATTGAAGAGGGTTTCCAAATTTTGGAAGAGGCGATGAGAATTGCCACCTCTCCAGTAGAGAAGCCTCAAGGAGCTCAAGTCCATGGTGAAGTAGATTCACCAAATTAATGATTTCGTCCGTGTTGATGTTACCCAAGTGGATTGCTTGTATAAAGCATAGAGTGGCGTTAGTGGCGTAAAGCGTATTTACAAAATGGGTTGAAATGTCAAGTATATTTTGAGAGTACTCGTATTTGTCTAGCATTGTAATTGTGTTTTTATATGCGAGTGTAAATTATCTTCTTTTCAGCCCATGAAAAAATAAATGAACCATGATTATGATTATTCTAGGCGCGCGCTGAAATTTTCTTGATAGGGATGCTATCTGCGAGATGTATCCATTTCGCGATTTCGTTAATTGACCTGCACACTGACGGGCATATATACCCACCAGTCCTCCACCTAGATGGGATTTATGTGAAACGATCACTCTTATGGCAGGGCATTGTGCAAAGAGTTTGGGCAAGGAATGAAATTCAAAACTCACATGGTAATCCTTCCATAATGCATCATCGCTACTCGGTGGAAACCCAATGTTTGCTACCACAACATCCTCTACTAACCTACAATCATACATGCTCTGACTTCACATTTCTAAGCATTGCTACGATGGCGAAACCTCGCGTTTCAATTAACAAAAAATCGGGCATCTAAACAGTCATGCCGCTACTTACCTATTTCCTAACTAGCAAATCTTCACAACATCCTTCCCTCGAGACACTATGCTTGCTGAAACCCTCTTACAAGCTCCGCCCGGCATAATCATCCAACACACAACCAACTCCCTATCAATCAATCAATCAATCCCCTTCTACTCCTCGTTCTTAAATACTCCGCCCTTTTCAATTTGACTTCCATCTTCCCCAGTCCTTTCAATTTAGTATTTGCTTGCTGTACAGAGAAACACCTATTTGTGCACTTTCCTTCTAAGATAATCTTACATTATAATCTTGCACCATTTTGTCTGTTTTCTGTGTATGCCCAAGCTATAGCTAGACATGCGATTCTTGGTGGCAGGAGGGGATGTAAATACTGCTTCGAGGAGTGTTTTGATGTTGTGGATTTTGAGTTTTTGTTGGGGGGGTGTTGGGGGCGGGGTATAAGTGTTCGAATCCTTTGGTTTTCTGAGGATGAATGGATAGTATGATGCGTTTGTTTGTTTGTTTGTTTTGGGGTTTCCCTACCTACTTGTCCTTTTTTGCAGTTTTGATGATACCTTGTTTGTGTGTGTAGGATTAGGATCTTTCTCTTTGAAATGCCCATATCAAAGGTCATTTCAAACATTTTCTGCTATATTACAATATCCTCAGCTTGGTTGACGACCAGGTGACGGCAGCCAGTGTTACTCATGGCCCCGTACATTTTTGTTTTGGGTGGTCAGCAACACATGGGAATCTACCAGGATAGCTCCTTCCGGTACAGCAATGTGTTGGTTCTGAGATTCCAACTCATGCATGGCGTATACATCAACCCAATTGTTATTTGCACACATATTTGCGACTGATGATGATGAATTTTCAAATCTGTTGTCCGGTATTACAATCTCATGACTCGCTTGGTTGAGAGTAGTCGAGCGGCCAAATTGGATAGCAATGAAGCTTCGGACACTGGCAAGGAATTGCGTTGGGGGAAGTAATGTTTTGTAGGCCCAGAGTGAGGGAAGGTTGACTGCTAAAAGACACACGGATGCTTCCAAATTGGACCAGAATATTATCAAAGTATCTCCCACTAGGGAAGAGTCAGAAACCAGTTTCCTTTTCTTTTAAGTCACTCACGGCGGGAGTCGGCATCAGGATCCAATTGAGCTACTGCAGAACATGTCAGTTGCAGTTCAATGACGGTCAAAATTTGCTGTACATACCGCGAAACATCTGAATTATGTATGCAGCACGTGTGATGGAAGCTGCCAAGCCACTATTTCGATACGTGGTTAGCCCATATTATAGTCCAACTATCATAATGCCTGAATATAAAATCGCAAAAGTTCACATACATCGAAGCTAAAAGAAATACACCATAGACGGCCAATTTAGTCCCGGTATTTGTTTTCAAATGAAATATCTAAAATCGATACATTGTCAGCGTGCATGTACTTGTAGCTAACAGCTTGGAATACACACCATTGGTAATGGCAGTAGAATTATCCACAGGTCTAACACGAAGTTGATGATGGTGAAAGCCTGTACAAATACTGGTGATATAACGTTGCAGTATTGCAAGTACTCGTATGATGTATGCCACAGCGCGCTAAAATGTGGACCACACCGAAATGCATTGCCGAGTATCATAGCAAATGCCCAAATTGCAACGAAAGTTATGGTCGCCGTGTTTATTACTCTGAAAGTGGATTTCAAATTTGTGCAGAATATTCTCTTGTAGAATAATAGAGCGCCCACCTTGATTGTTGCTATTGCGCCGACTTGGATGTATTGAAATATATTCAGTAGCTGAGAAGTCATTGATTAGCACGGCCCTTACAATCCGACTTCTTTTTACTTGCCTTCGCTTCATAAGTTATACTTCGGAAAAGAATAGGGATAGAATCGGCATTTAAGTAGTGACCCCATATTTTCTTCGTCACGCCTGGTATGGCAATCCTTTTAGCCGTGACTGGTCACTATTGCATAGCTTTAATGAGCTACAACTCACCAAGTATACCACAAATACTCATCCCAGTCACGAGTAAGGCGGCTGATATCATGATCCAGTCATCGGACTTAAGAGCCGTTTTCTGTATCCGTCGGACATTGAATCGAAGGGCCACAGCAATGAGTGCCAAGATCGGAAGGAACGTACTTACAATCATAACACTGGCGGGTTTCGTAACGCCATGAGGTTCGATAATATCGTATATAGTACCCATGAGTTGAATCTTTCGAATAGTAGTTAGATTGAGCAGAAGGTGAAAACCTTGAAAAAGGAAATCTCAAGGTGGGAGATATGTTTGAAAATTTCGTGTGCAAAGCTCGGGAGATTGTTTAACTTTCATAAGTTTGGTTGGATGCTTTGTTGGAGTAAAGGATAACTAAGAGCTCTTATTCATCGTGGATGCCACTGATTGATGTGTCAGACTACAACGCTGCTACAAAATTGAATTTAGATTTTCCATCAGAAAAGTGATAGCTGTTGATATTTGTTGGTGTGAATAAAGTAATCCAATTTATCGTCTGGTTCCTGGTAGATTGATATAATTTTACACGCGTTGATTTCACAACCATACCGTGGGATGATGTAGTGTGGCTGAAGCTAGAGGAACATGTAGACGTCAATCAGGGAACCTTGACTTCATCACCAATCACCACACATATTATTATTTTCAGATTTTTCATTAATATCTAATTCGCGTTATTTCTAGCTTGCGGTCAGGAAATCAGGGGTCTTGTTACATATGGAGGTTGCATTACAGCCGAGCCCCGATCCTTTCACAACAATGCTTGCAGGATTACACGAGTGCAATACCATGCTTCAATATGCTGTGTTGAAGGATGACATTGCCTTACTTTCATCCTATTTTTTTTTCTCCTGGTTTTCTGCGGCAAAGTAACTTGTTTTTAAGTTGGATACGAGCTGTTATTTGTGTTCACGGAAATTGTAGAGGAAAGTTTTCAATATTAGAGTGATTCCCACTTCTCAATTCCTTTTCTCTTTGATTCATTTTAGCCATGGTAGCAACAAAATAGCAACGTGTAAAAGAGGCGGACTCCAGTGATGAAGAATTATCTCCCTCAGAGGCTATCAGCATTCAAATCCCTACATTTTCATGTATCGCAAAAGATAAGATCATTCTCATCATAAATTGTTTTGTCCCCGTCGTTAGAAATATCATCTGGATCTGGAATTATCATATATCTACACCCAACCAAAATGCCGGGAGCTGTGTCTCGGAATATGGCAAGTCTACCAGTATTGGGTTTCTTGAGACCAGAAAGAGCATCAGATTGAATTGATTGATTCTCTAGCTAAGCAGTTAAGCTGCGAGTATATATTCAAAAAATGAAGGAATAAGGTTAGGTATTCAGCCTTCGGAATTAAAGTGCTTTGAAATCAAAATATTGAAAGCAAACAAACAGTATACCAAAAAGCAAAGAATAAATTAAAAGTTGAGTTTTGTTTGCTCCTTATATGCATCATGCAATATATATGCATATGCTGCCAAGATCCCAGGAGGTCAACAACCAGCAATATGATCATATCTGAGAGGCTTGCTAACAAGCTTTAGCTCATCTTTCCGGGGATACATTGAAGCAGTTCGTTATTCTGGGGAATTATGACGTTATTCCCGATGAGGAATGGGAGTTTCCCATGGCTAATACTGGTGTAAGTGACTTAACAACGCTTTAGTTGCTGAGAAGGGGCCTTCCAAGCGCACAGATATGGCCATGGAATTCTAATAGAGGTATTCAACTCTTACAAGGATATTATAATCTTCATTGTTTAGTTTGTAAATCCACTACCTTTATATTGTTTCATTATAAAACTAACTGGAAGAGTAATTCGACGTCAAAGAATTGGCTGGTGCTGAATATTATAAAAGGAGCTGGAACGTGCAAGTTGGTAGCAACGATGGTGGTAACTACTGCAGCTATTACTAGACGAGTTTGCATGACAAAGGCTACAAGTGTGATTAGTTGCTGAAATGGCAGAGGATTTGAAGGCAAGTAGAAATACTTTGTCTTGAGAAACATAGCCGGATCCCACCCAGCTAGACATCCAATTCAAGATGGTGATGTTGGAGCTCCAACTTTTCTAATATCTTGTTACTACATGCGGCACAAGAATCATAAGTCGGGGTAATGCATGTTTGCACCGAGTGGGATTCAACGCAACCCATGATCTCGAGTGATCAAGCTGTACGAACGAACGCTACTGTAGGATTCGGTACCTTGGTTCAGTCATTGCAGACGCGTGAGTCGTATACGTACTCGACGTGAGCGAATTTGACAGATCAGGAAAACAATTTAAATTATGTTGCTGCGCTTGAAATATTAGACGCACATGAGCGGCACGGCGCGAGACGGTTATGAGAGATATTAGTTTTTGCGTCTTTATACTTTCTTATAGAACCTAACCTTAGTCTATAACCCGATTTGAAAGTTTCGCTAGCTAGATTACATGTTCATGAGACACCCACAAAGGTCACCTTTCAAAAAATCATGAATAGCTTGATTTTTAATCGATAGCCTCAAAACTTTTCAGTCATTATATTGAGTCTGCACAGTATAATTATATTAATACAAATATCTCCCAAAGAATATTATATTGAACGTTACAGAAGCACATGCAAGCAATGTAAAAAATCCAATTTATGGGGTACGAAAGACCAGGTTTCATTCGTGTAGTCTAATATAGATTCTCATGCAATTCGACCCTGAGAAGCCTTCACATTTTAGCATATTTCCTACATATCCGAATGGTTTATGTAGATGTCAGGGGAAGAGGTCTTATCTTTTCCGAAGATTCAACGTCTTATTGACGAAGAGATTACTGACAAATTTAAGTCAGAGATACTGTTTAGAAGGTCTATAAAGTGGAAAGGAAAGCAGCCATACTTAATTCTCATGTTTAAAATCATCTCTATGAAATTCTTCAGCATATCTCTCTAATCCAAGAAGTTGTTACTGTGAAGTTTGCGAAGTGGTAAAAGTTCAAGCAAATGCTTTCGGTCCTCCGATGAGTGTGTTGCAGCGTAATGTGTTTTATCCTGTATTGAAATTAGGTAATGGTCCAACGGCGAAATGCGATGCGGTAAAAGAACTCATCGGAATGATCAATAACGTTCTCAGTATAATATGTCATATAATGTACAACACGATATAACCTCAATTCCATCCATGACTGAAAGTGCGGTCAAAAACATTATTCAGCTGTAAAAATTGGAAACTTACATGTAAGATGATTTTTATATAAGTAAGTTATATAAATAGCACTCTTTCTTGTTTTTTGAAAGTTTTGGGAACACTCTTAATCATCAGGTTGATAAGTAGTATATATTAGTAGCTGGAGGACCGGTCACTTCTTCCCGGAGGACCCGACTGCCAATTGTGGTATATTGGATGACGAGTATCATGAGAGGGGGCCGCTCAACAATATCGCTGTCCTCCTTTTTGCAAGAATTGACCAAAATATATCTGAAATCCAATTGTTTTTAGGAATATATAATATATAATGTGTCAAAAAAGAATAGACCTAGCAAGGAAATATCTTTGTATTTTATCTCGAACTTTCATACACGGATTTAAAGAAACGGCATTGTACACATAGCTTTGTGTTTGAGCCCCAAAGAATTTCAACTCACATTATTCGCGGAGATACTAGCAAGATACACGTGCTGTATGAATACCCCTTGCGATATTTTTTTGGCAGCAAATTCCATTCGTTTACCACAGAGGCTAAAAAGTATCAAGTATCATTACTACACCCCAATAACCGACCACTAGGCCAACTCACTGCACCTCCTCTCCTAAAGCATCTCCACAACTCACATCCCACAAGAAACAATTAAGCAAAGCAGATTCAAAAACGATAAATTTTTCCCATTCCATTAACTATCTCTAAACCACAATACACCAAGCATCGCAAGAAAATTCCTCAAAACGAGCTATCATCCACTTCATCCTCATTCAAATCATTACATCATAGCCGCGCCATCAATTCCAATAACCTTTCCATTAACCCATTCACCATCTTGACTTGCCAAGAAACAAACCACTCTAGCAATATCGATTGGAAGACCGACTCTGTGGAGTGGCGACCAGGTAGCGGCGTATTCGTCTACTTCGTCATCGTTGAGATTGGCGCCGTTGGGGATATATTCGCGGCAGACTTTGTGGTACATGTCTGTTCTGATTCCACCTGGGGCAATACAGTTTACGGTGATCTTCTTGTCGCCGAAATCTGGGGTGCTGGGTTAGTCATATGTTTTATGTAGAAGGAGATGGATGTAGACATACCAATAGCCATGCAGCGAACGAAGGTCTCAATAGCACCCTTAGAACCAGAGTATACAGTGTGAGCCGGGACACCCTTAGCTTGACCAGTAATTGAACCCATCATGATCAAACGGCCTCCAACTTCCAAATTCTTATACGCTTCCCTGGCGACGAAGAATTGTCCTCTGGTATTAATATTCATGACGCGATCATATTCCTCCTCAGTCACATCTTTAATATGACCAAAGGTAACGACACCAGAATTCGAGCAAACAATATCGAGTTTACCCCATTGTTTCTTAGCTTGATCGAAAAGGTTGATAATGTCTGAGACGACGGAGACGTTTCCTTGAAGAGCGACGGCTTCGGAACCGGCTTTCTTGATGGTGGATACGACTTCTTGGGCAGCGGCATCAGAGTTGGCGTAGTTGACGATTACTTTTGCGCCACGACGACCGAGCTCACAGGCCATTTCGGCACCAATTCCACGACCTGATTTTTTTTGTTAGGATTTATTTGAAGAGATGAGAGTGGATTTCATACCTGAACCAGTGACCAAGGCTACTTTTCCCTTCAAGCTGGCGCTCTCAAGACCGAGAGGACCAGGAACTTTGGTGTAATCAACCTTCTCCTTAGTACCATTGGTACCGTTGGTAGCTCCATTTGTTCCGTTTGTAGCAGGCATTTTGAATGATCTATAGAAAGATTTGTTTGGTGAAAGAGTGCGTGAATGAAAATGGGTATCAAGAGTATTGTAAGATTAAAGCAGAAGACAATGAAGTAAAGATGATGAAACTAAATATTATACTTTTGGAGAAACCTACGGTATCTATATATCATTTTCATCCAGCTAAAAATATCAGCCAAGTCAAGTGAAGTCAAAGCAAGCTCTAGTAAGCCGACGTCTCAATGCGCATACGAAAAGGATTGGCATTGTCTATCTGACCTCGCTCTATTCGAAGTCCGTGAGAAGCGAGCTTGCGAGCGAGGATAGATGCATTTCTGCATATTAGGTAGTGTCCGTCAAGCAGCGATGATCTTTCTGAGCTTATTGATACATTTGTGGCGCGAATATAGGCTATAGTTTTGGAATGTCAAAGTTTGGATGGTTTTGCGGCTGATGTAGCGGATCCGAGATCTAATGGCGTGGCACTATACCAGAAATGGTGAGGTGGTTTTCGGACGTCCTGCTTCAGATTAATGGGCAGATGGTGAGGTAAGATCTCAATTAGATGGATATGATAATTGTTGTTGGGGAAGTCGTGAATTGGAGATGTAAGCAGCTTGGCTTTCCATTCTGTAGATCTAACCTCGGTTATATTGCGAAGGCCCCTTCATCAGTATGAACAAGACAATTTGACCTTTGAATAGGTAGGTAAGGTATCTAGAAAAAAGCAAACAACTTGTAGCCATGGTGTATAGAAACATACAAACAATACTGTAATCCCACAGCCTTCGGGATGTGCAGGGGCAAAGACTGAGAAAGGTTGAGAGGCGACCCAGAATAGTAATTTAGGGGTGGTCGATCATTGTCCGTGCATGGGGGAATTTTGCAAATCTATGAACCAATAAATCTTCAATGTTTCATGTTTCAACATTTTTTCACGGCTATTCGAGTGCTACTGCGTAATCGCGTCGTTTCGGGTCAAACGCCAGCACCGTGGGGTTGTCCGATCAATTGAAGTTGTAAGAACCGCCATTCGGATTCTTCGTCAAAAGCGAAGACCGAAACCGAAAGAGAAGAAGAGATGGACGGTAGACCTATGTTTCATGATATGTGTATAGTATGATTTCATGATGCTAAATCGGCCTTACTTGAAAGTCGGAGTTTGTTTCTCGAAGTTTTGTTCTGGAAAGTGTGGAGTTGGTGACGCTCGACATCTTTTTTATGAGACTTCTAAGAATACCTGAATAGCTGCAGTTCTTCCGATTCATGTCCTTCGATTTTGTTCCCTCCGTACCAAAAGCAATTACTCGCTACAAACCATAAAAAGCCCATGCATCTACCCATTCAGCTTATTAATATGACATAAATAAGTAGGCGCAAACCAAAGATCTCAAATCGTAATATATTGAGCTTCGTATACTCGTGTCATTAGTACCTACATACTTGTATATACGTACTTGTAAATCTCACCTAAATCTTTCCTACAGTACCATTCGTCCCCAAAGACTTCGAGCCTTCAGCCATTAGCACGGCTCTGCGATTCGTACCCAAGCACAAGTAACACGACAAGATCTCGTCCTTTCGCCCTCAAACATTTCCATACATTTTTATAGAAGACTTCGGAGATCGGATGATTTCCACCATTTGAACGCATTTGACCTTTGAGCCCCTTCCCGCTCTCTGGACTTGGCAAATGCTGGGCAATACTGGGCAGTGGAAATTACCACGTGATTCGCATCCTGCATCTGGGAGGATATCATTTAGTTTGTTTTCTGGAGCAATCGAGCCTTGTTGGCGCTTAGAGTAAATCATACTATTATCATTGCTTTTGGACATGTGCTACGGCGAGTTGGTGACATTGTTCTTTTGTGGCTTTTGGAGGAATTGTGCGAGTTGCGTTCGCCTATCTCGTGATAGCTTGTGTGCTTTACCTGCCCAGTTGTCAGATATACAAATTGTTGCCCGTATCCAGCTTCATGTCGTCTGTATTTGATCATTGAGGATATGTCTTAAGGGGAGAGGTTAATCACAACGTCATATACACGTACCACCTTAGCCGCGTAGCGACTAACACGTTAGACAATACTATCGTCGCACGACCGTCGACCATAAGACGCGGCAAAGTTGTCAAACAGAACACAGCAGAACACGAGGTTTGATGCAACGTTGAAGGACCGCAGCTAAATAAAAATGGGTTGTGAATTTCTAGCCAACGATTATAAAATGACTAATGGGGGATATCCTAGTGCTAGTATAACAAAGTATGCAGAACAAATTCGCCTTAATATGCTTTTGAACATTCCCTATCCCCACTCCAAAAGAAATAATATCCCTCGTATTATTCGCTAGGAAAAGGTTTTCTACCCCATACAACATAACTGTACAGGTTAGCACACTACAGTCAGAAAAGGGATTGAGACTTACATAGGGAGATAAGCGTGAACATTCCGGTCCTTCACAGATTCTTTTGCTTTTAGGAGTAACTCGTCAACATGAGCCTCATCCCATTTCAATGCCTCCTTTAAAGTTCTCTTGGTCGAATACAGGAATAGCTTAATGTCCTTGTGCATCATTGCACCGATTCGCTTCTCTTTTGCTCCTATAGGCCAATCATTTATCGCATTGTGATAAACTGTTTCAGTCACATCCTCAAATCCGATCTCTTCCATCCATGCCATATACTTTGTGACATTAGTCCAAGGTCTTCCAGTGGCTTCACCAGATTGGCAGCATGCTTGAAACCATTCAGCAATTGCAGTGCCTTCCACCGAGCTGTCGATGGCATCTAATGGAAATCTGGCATCAAGAGTCTGACAATAACCACCAGGTTCAAGGGCATTGAAAGCTGACCTGAAAACCTCTTTCTCGCTTTCAAAACACATCATCAAATCGCGAAAGTGGATAAAATCAAATTTATGTGGAAAGTCCCAAGTTTCTTCGGCATCAGCAACAACAAATTCGCAATTTTCGGGTTTACTATCAATTTGTTTAGCCAATTTCATCCATATTGAAGGGCTGAGCTCACCTTTCACGCGTCGAAGGGCTAAGATCAGTTCCGATGACATGTGCATTTGGGAACTCGGTAGCTATTTTGATTAGTTTCGTCTACTAATGATGAAGCTCGACTTAAATTACCAAATTCAACTGCCCATGTCCCATGTCCAGTTCCAACACTAAATTATCAAGAAGTCAATAATCGTAATTTATATCTTTGAGAAATGGAAGTAATCGATGACGCATTTGAGTATAAAAAGGCCATAAAGAGAGGTTGAATATCGGTGATTGTGTGACTAGCCACTGAAAGAATGTACTCACTCAAGAACATGATTAATCTCTTCTGGCTTTATAGGAGCTAAGTATATTTTATCATTCATCGTAATTTTCAGCATCCGATGTTGGAGCTCTAGTCGAAGTTAGCCACAATGTAGACATTGAGGTATTACAGCGAATGCACTAACCCAATCTATCTTGTTCTAACTAGAAAAGTATGTCTTCAGCGAGGGTCCTCATTTGACCAGGACAAAAATCTCACCTTATCGATGGGCAACTTGTATTCTGCGAGTGTCGAGTTAATATCTCAAACCATGTTTGTGTTAGGAATTAGACACTGGACTTACTGTCATCCTTGTTTTCGTGAAATATTCTAGCTGTATCCGTAGTACATTCCTCTTCGCTATCGGAGTGGCATGTATCAACAACCTTCCAGGCATTATATTAGCATGTCGTGCATGTATAAGGTAGTTGGAAGAATCCTCCGGAAGCTACAAACAGCGGGGTCGACCTCTAGCTCAACGGTCAAGGTTTCTGTAATCACAATATCAAAGTTGGACATGACGGCGTGTTTTTCGTATTTTTTCTCTAACCGAAACAGTGTACAGATGCAGTGTTTTGAGGGAGGGTCGGTATGGTGCCGTGATTGCAAGAATTTAAGAAGTTACTGACCTTTGTCAAAGGTGGGATTCCAAGCCAATTTTCCGAGCGATTGGGAGTGCAGATAGCCGATGAAGATCCTCAAATATTGACTTCCAATTTCTCGTACTCCCCACCTGGCACGGAAAGAGCAATATTGTAGAATTTGCTTATGTCGGTTGGATATATCGGAATACTTTCCTGTTTCGGTTAATTTTTGTATGAGAATACCGGATTTTTGCCTTAGCTAGGAGTATGAGGTACTTTTAGTCAGATGCAGTATAAAATCGAATAGGAAAAAACCCCTGATCTTCCCAATGAAAAATGATCACATGATTCTTCTCCAATATATCCCAGAAAGAGCCAAGTATTTATATAATACTCATAATCTTTGTATAAATCCCTTCAGATATACTGAAAACCTATGTATATCGCATTTGGGTGGTCGGATTTTCGGCCGAGTCTAGTATAATCAAGGTCTAGAACGTTACCGAAAAGCATATGAAAGAGTTGGCCACGGTACTGTTATCAGGAGATTGAAAATCGGTACTGTCTTTTGATTAATATCTGTGCCGTGGGATGTAACCTTTCTTGACCCTAGTCCGGGGACATTTTCCCCTGTGCCGCAATGGTAATTCTCGGTACTTGGCGTGGGCGCGGAGTGTTAATCAGGGACGAGAGACTCAAGATATTTTGCAGGTTTCGTTATTAGGCCTTTGAAAATAGAACTAGCCATGTATCACACGTTCTAGTACACGGAGGCACCTCGGTTACCTTGTAAATGTGTTCGAAGTCGAATGCCATTGTCTGCCAATGAATAGCATTGAGATGCCGTCAACCATGCCCTAGTCGAGTCATATAAATCTAAGTAAGCTGTGGCCCGTAGAGGCTCCACAATTCAAAGTCGTGCAACCTGCAAGTCGGCTAATAAGACATCTTAGTCTTCTGTCGTCTGCCAATGAATGTGAACACCGCTACCAGCCATTCTCAAACGATGTGTCGTGTGGAGACTCTAAGCTTTCAAATGTTTTGAACCTTGCAGGTAGGGCTCCTCAAAGTGGAATATTGTATGTTATCTTCCAATGAAATGTCGTAACTACTAGCCTTGTGCTTGATCCCCTCGACCTGGGCATTCCCGAGAATACCAAAATGGTTTCCATCGCTTAACTAGGATCTTGCATACTAATCACTAGAATTCTCTAGTTTGAACAATCTTTCTAATCATTCTATAATTAAAAATTTCATATGTAGTAATATTGTAATATTCAAATCTAAAAGGTAATGTTATAGATTTTTTGCTAGTAACAATATTATTTGTTCTTTAAATTGAAATATTCTAAACTCGTTTCAAAATTCGGCTATAAAGAAGAATTTCTCAAAATAATATTTTATGGTTGTCGCCCAATGAAGCGTTGTGATTCAGGGATATTGCACGGGCCTTTTTGGAGTCGATTTTTGGTAGTCTAAAGGATTAGAACTGTGGAGATTCTAAGAGGTTGGTAAAAGGTCGGCACTTTTGATCGCTGTCATTTCATTTAAACCACCCCATACTTATCAACGGATTAGGACATCCATATGAAAATCGCGATAGAAACTTCTACTCCATAGATATGTTACTATATTACCATAAAACACATTCATTATCAAAATTGATGGCTGAATTGAAAGGTTGAGTCTTTTCATCTTTTTATACTATAAACATCAATTTCCCATACAAAATGAAGTTTGTGTCTCCTAGTTAGTGGAGATTGTAGGCAGGCCAGGAAAGGATGAGCAGCTTCTTCGATCAACTCAGAGTAGCGGTGCAACCATATTGATTGATTCTCGTCCTGCATCCTCAAGCTCGCCACGCTCTCGATCAGCATTAACAGATCTCTTTCCCACCGTCCGTTTTGACAACACTCTTTGAGAAGCTTGGCAACGATTAAAATGTAGGATGAGTACTTCCGTGTGTGTAAATTTCATGACAGATGAGTATCAAACACGAGTCGTATGCCTCCTCCTAACATCTTCCAATCAACCAAATCGCACCTAAACGACAATGTTATATTCCAATTGGTATGTGTAAGTTCTCACGACAAACCCGATTAATATAAAGCTTTTATTTTATCAATGGGGTTTCACTTGGAGATGGCGGAACTATCCTTGTTAATGGGCATAAATGCTCAGTACGAGTCAATTCATGGTTCATATATATCCTTCATCGATGGAGGGCAAATCACATGAAGTGAGCCCGATTGTTAATGTTCTTTACATCGGTCGAAATGATGTTTTATGGGGGAAATCATTAAGCGAGACAAATAAGCAAGTTTTGTGAACATCTGAAAAGAGTGATTTCTTTTCTTGGGTGTTGATAAAAGGGGAAGACACTTCTTTCTCTCACGAGAGCGCAGCTATGGGATTTGTTCTATTCCATGCGATCAGGATTCTTGAAGGTATTAGTCGACTTAGCGGACGATCGGATTCGAAAATGCCAATCATAGGTTCCCCTTATTCGATTTTGCCACTTAATCCACGTCGCTCCTTAGGTGCTTACGTCGGTCATTATATTGCCCATACTGGAAGCGACTTTGTGTCATCCAAGAGTTAGCTTTTGCGAGGGAAATATTGGTCCACTGCAGTGAATAGGGTTTTGAATCGAAAGATTTCGCTCAATGTTGTGATAGTCCGGAATGGATATCCGAAAGATGGATGAATATTCACGATAAAAAAGTGCATAGATTGATCTATAACATTATGCACAGAATCCAATGCTAGCTACATAGGCAAAGAAAGGAGAGAAGAAACCATGGATTGCAAGCGCATTTACTTCCGAAGCTTCTTTTTACGTGCAACCGAAGCACAGTGCGAAAATATTCGTGATAAAGTTTTTGGTTTGCATAGTTGTGCTCATGATTGTCGCAAACAAGGTATACCTGTCGATCATGAAATCTCAATTCTCGAGAAATGCTCAAGCATTCTGAGCCCTCATTTCTCTGAACATCATTCACCACCATTTTACACGGCTAGACATACCACAGCCACTCTTCACAGACTCTTGAATGCGCCGCAGCCAGACAAATAACTACGCGAAAGATACTTGGTTCCACGGTCAAAGCTATAGTTAAAACTCATTGGGACTCTAGACGGTACCCTTCCATGGCTAAGTTCCAAATCTGATGATCTTCCACTCAGCGAGCGAGGTGCCGTATGTGGAGAGGAGAGGGAATATAAGTCGAGATATTTAACGAGGGAGAAGTGACGGGTTGTTTCGATATGCCTTCACTGCAGTTGTTGGATTTGGGGAAGTTTGATGGGGTTCGGGGTTTGGGCTTTAGGACCTTGAAATACTCGAGCGTTGGATAATATGTTGAACGAGAATACTTGAATATTTATAATACTTATGGGCTCAGGCCCGGATGGCCACGAAGAGGAGGGGAAGGAAAAGGAAGGAAAGAGGAGAGGAGGGAGGAAAAGGGGTGGGAGAGGAAGGGGAGATTCTTTGAAAGAGATGAAGCCCGAAATCGAAAAGCAGATCGAAGAATTGTAGCTTAGTTATTATCAAATTGAAGTTATTCATACTAAATATCGTTCTATAGATTGAACAAGTTACAATCTCAAAAATAGAGATTTTACTAATTCTGAATCAATCATTTACTAATTGAGAATCAATAAAGTTTATTGATTGAGAATCAGTAAATAACTGATTCACTGCTCCCATAGGGATACGAGTCTCGTTGAAATGGAACGGTTATTCACGGAAAACCGTGGGGAGTGTAGAGTTTTAGTTGCCTTTTGTGATTGGTCGGTTTACCAGATCCGTACCTAAAATACCATCGGCTAAACATCGGCTGAACATCGGCTGTACATAAGCTCTCCCCGCATAGTTCCCCAGATCCTACCATCAAGCTCAACTTCACACACAAAACACCAGTTGAACTTGGACAATGCAACTTCATGATGTTATCGCGGCGCATATTTCGATTTCGAAATACTGGCTTACAACTTCGCCAACTACGACGTCTTGCAACAGCAGCTGAGCCCTCGGCAAATGGGGCGAATGGTAACCAACAGCATGGAGACAATCGTGTCAAAATAGTGGAAGTGGGACCTCGGGACGGATTACAAAATGAGAAAACGATTATACCTTTAGCGACAAAGATAAGTCTGATTGAGAAGCTTGCAAAGACGGGCTTGCAGGATATTGAAGCTGGCTCTTTTGTTGCGCCAAAATGGGTGCCACAAGTAAGCTGAAATCCTCTACTCATAGATGAGCAAAGACTGACTTCAAGGCTGCTGCAGATGGCAGATGCGAGCGAAATTCTTGAACATGTTCTACAGAATCAGAATCAATCGTCTATTCCTCTACGATACTCTTTCTTGGCGCCCAACAGAAAGGGTCTTGACAAAGCATTGGATATTTTGTCTCAAAATCAAAATGCGTACAACACTGCCGACATTCCTCTTCATGATGCCCCCAAGGATCTTACTTCATCCTCCAGTAAACCATATATCGAGATGGCAGTCTTTGCAGCAGCAACCGAGTCCTTTTCACAAAAGAACCTCAACTGTGATATTGCAACATCATTAAAACGATTTGAAGAAGTCATACAAGGTGCAAAAGCAGCCGGAATGCGAGTTCGTGCCTATATATCTGTAGTATTGGGTTGTCCATTTGAGGGTGGCAATGTAGATCCTCATCGCGTGGCAGAAATAGCGACGGAATTATTGGAGATGGGGGCGGACGAGATTGATCTTGGAGATACCACTGGGATGGGTACTGGACCTAAGACTTCAAAACTTTTGCGTACAATGCAATCAGCGGGAATACTTAATGAGGACATAGCGATGCACTTCCATGATACATATGGACAGGCCTTAATCAATACTGTTGTCAGCTTGGAACATGGTATTAGAACCTTTGATAGTAGTGTTGGAGGATTAGGTGGATGCCCATACAGTCCTGGGGCTACTGGAAATGTCGCTACAGAAGATATGGTATATTTGCTAGAGAGCATGGGAATGCAGACTGGTGTTAATCTAGATGAGTTGGCTGATGTTGGACAATGGATTACTGGGGAGATTGGGAAACCTAATGCAAGCAGTGTTGGGAAGGCGGTGATTGGAGCAAGAAGCCGCAAATAATTTGAGGCTAATGCGACTTTCGCACTCAAGAGGAATCAAACTGTGTGCGTAGCATGGTGAGGTGATGGATGACTGGCGTTCGGTGTGAATTGACGAAAAGCTGGGCAGAAATTGTGTATTGGATGTATAGCAATAACGGCTACGGCCAGTCCACCATTTATTGAATCATATAACAAACGAACATGATTATGTAACTGACCATATAATTTCACCCTTCTCATTGGTACATACTCTAAATGACGGACAGCATCGTAATTTCAATTAACGCCAAGACCAACCCACGACACGTGATCGAACTCAACCTTGTCGCTTATCGCAATTGCCTCCATTCTACCAACTAATCAAGCTAAGCTCCACACTGAAGCATCTCAAGCTCTCCAACCTCACAAAAGCAAGCTAGTTATTCACGAAACCAACCAGCATAATCATCGCTGGAGCTTCTTGCGAGCTGAAGCGCCTCTTTTTGTTTTTTGTCTTAGTGATCGAATAAACCGCAAATCAGTTTGCAACAATGGGGGATCCAAGAGAGTCGTCGTCGTACAGTGTTACGCCGCGAATCAGGTATAATACCATCGGCGGTATCAATGGTCCTTTGGTTATTTTGGAGAACGTGAGTTTGAAGAATGATGGATAGGTGGTAGTTGGGCACGTTCTGATGGAGTCGCAGGTCAAATTCCCAAGATACAATGAGATTGTTAGCTTGACTCTGCCTGATGGCACACAGAGGTCAGGACAAGTGTTGGAAGCTAGAGGTATGTGGTATATGTGCTATTGATCATGCGGAATTATTTGCTGATTTTATATAACCTATAGGTGATCGAGCAGTTGTCCAAGTACGAATTCGATTTCCGTAGGGTACCAACATTTGTCACTGACCAAGGATTTAGGTTTTCGAAGGCACTCATGGTATCGATGTGAAAAAGGTATAGCAAAGTTACAAAGGCATTTCAGTGACTGTGTTGCTAATACTGTAATAGTCCACAGTCGAGTTCACGGGACACAGTTTGAAACTGGGTGTCTCCGAGGATATGTTGGGTCGAATCTTCGATGGATCTGGAAGAGCTATTGACAAGGGACCAAAGGTGTTGGCAGAAGATTATTTGGACATTAACGGAAGTCCTATCAACCCATATTCAAGAGTAAGACTTGTAGATTGGTAGTCGATTTCTTTGGCTAATCTATATCAGGTTTACCCAGAAGAAATGATCTCAACTGGTATTTCTGCCATCGACACGATGAACTCCATTGCTCGTGGACAAAAGATTCCTATTTTCTCCGCTGCAGGTTTACCGCATAACGAAATCGCTGCTCAGATTTGTCGACAAGCTGGTTTGGTTCAAAAACAAGGTGTTACAAACAAAGGCACACACGATGGACATGAGGAGAACTTCTCCATTGTTTTCGCAGCTATGGGTGTCAACTTGGAAACTGCACGTTTCTTCACTAGGGATTTCGAAGAGAACGGAAGTCTTGAGCGTGTCACCCTCTTCTTGAACTTGGCCAATGATCCTACGTAAGTTTCACACCAGTCTCTCCACATGACCAACAAGACTAATATTTCATAGTATTGAACGTATCATTACCCCTCGTCTTGCCCTTACCACCGCCGAATACTACGCCTACCAATTGGAGAAGCATTGTTTGGTTATTCTTACCGATTTGACTGCATACTGTGATGCTCTTCGTGAGGTTTCAGCTGCCCGTGAAGAAGTACCTGGACGTCGTGGATACCCCGGTTATATGTACACGGATTTGTCCACCATTTATGAACGTGCTGGTCGTGTCCAAGGTCGAAATGGATCCATTACTCAAATTCCTATCTTGACTATGCCTAACGACGATATTACTCACCCTATTCCCGATTTGACTGGTTATATTACTGAAGGACAAATTTTCATCGATCGTCAACTACACAACCGTGGTATCTACCCACCTATCAACGTGCTGCCATCTCTCTCCCGTCTCATGAAGTCTGCTATTGGAGAAAAGCTCACCAGAAAGGATCACGGTGATGTTTCCAACCAATTGTACGCCAAATATGCCATTGGTCGTGATGCAGCATCCATGAAGGCAGTTGTTGGCGAGGAAGCTTTATCTTCTGAGGACAAGCTCTCGTTGGAATTTTTGGAGAAATTCGAGCGTACTTTCATTTCACAATCTGCTTACGAATCGAGAACCATTTATGAGTCACTCGATCAAGCATGGAGCTTACTTCGTATTTACCCCAAGGAATTGCTCAATCGTATCCCACAAAAGGTTTTGGCTGAATTCTACCAACGATCTGCAGCTGACCGCAAGGGTAAAGGACGTGCTGGCAACAAGGATACCAAGGATAACAGTGAGGAAGGTAAGGCGAAGGATGCGCAAGTGGAGAACTTGATTGATGCATGAATATGAAATTGCCGCGGAAGGGAGGATAGTGAAGAGTCGTTTTGGAAGAGTGTAAGAGGGTGTTTAGTCTTGTCAATATATCTCTCGGATTCCTTTGCATTGAAATGAGCGCGCTTGTGTAGATATTATGAAGAAGCGAAAGTCGAGGGCTGAATTAGAATGATAGTTTAACATAACAATTCATTTCGATATATGCAGATTGTACAGGGGGGAGCGTGAACACTGAACTCGTTCATTACTCCAATGATGAGATCAGGCCAACCATAGGAAGCATGTGCTACAACATCAATCACAAGTATATGAGCGCTGCATACCTGCATATCTAGTTACATTACCTACCTACATTGCCTACATTACCTACAAAACGTATCACATGCGGAGTACAAAGTGTTGGATTGTGATGATCTCTTTCTCTCTATAGCTGGGTGGGGTAATTTTCCGTACTAGGTAAGTAAGTAAAAGTATAATTAGTGTAAGGTGGTGGTTTAGGGTGGTTTATGTATGCGCTCGAATGGTACGGTGTGTATGGGAAGAGGGATTAATAAATGCGGGATGCGGGATGCGGGGATTTAGGGTAGGGGATATTGAGGTGGTAGGGTAGGGGATAGTGTGGCTAGGTAGGTAGGGTTTTAGGATTGAGATTAGGGTCGTTGGGGTTGGGTTGGGATGGGATGGGATGGGATTGGTCAGATAGATAGGTAGGTTACTCGTAATAGTAGGTAGGTAAGTAGGTAAGGAAAGAAAAGAAAAGCTGTCTCTCCCTGCAGAGAGGGTATTGGGTGGTGTTCGAGTTAGGAGTTGTGAGTTGTGAGTTGCTGGATTTAGAGTCATTGTTAGATGTTAGATGTTAGATGTTTAGATGGATATTTAGATCAAACCCCGCACTTTTCAGGGTTTAGTAGGGTAAGGTTATGGATTGTGTGTGTACCGAACGGACGGAGTACGGAGGTAAGGTAAGGTAAGTGTACCTAGGTACCTAAGCAAACTCACGTAATGCGCGTGAGTGGTGAGGTTAGACGCACCAATTGTAGGAGTGTGTGGATTCATGGATTTTGGGGTGATAGGATACTGTGTGGTATGGATGGTATGGATGGTTCGGAACCGTGGGATTGGGATGATGTATAGAATTAAATCAAGCTTTTCTTGGAAGCTGGGGTTGTACCTGGATTAGATTGATGGGAGGTTGGCAGGATAGGTTAGAAAACTGAGAGAGGAACTAGTAACAGTTAACAGCTAACAGTTTGTCCTACGTATACCTTTATCGACCGATTATAAGATGCAGTACGAGGTGAGCAATAATACCCCCGCATCATCTGGAAGAGGAAAGAGAATGAATTGACGAATCGTGTGAGTGGAAGGAGAAGAATTGCTTCGAGGAGGCTTTCACCGCATGTTAGTTGGTACCTGGAGAAATATGTTGTGTCCTGGGTCTGGGATAAATGTAGATGCAGATGCATGATTGATTGATTGTGTGCGGGGCGGTTACCCCGGCCTTGTTTATTTAAGTTGTAACTTTTCCTCATGCTTTTTGGGATGATTGTTAAACAATCGCTTTGTTGTCTTGTTCGGAGATCTTTTGATTGTTGATTGTTGATTGTTGATTGTTTGTGGGTTGACCGGCAAGTGCAACACTTCATATACGAACGGAAAAACTAGGAGATTATTTTTCATTCGAATGCCTCGTCGCAAATTCACTCTTGAGTTGAGATAGATGAGCTTGATCAGATGATCATTTTACCCCAGTACCCCGTATTTTAAAATTCACTGTGGAGACGGCGATCTACGGCTCAATCACCTACTTCCATCATCCATCATCTTATTATAAAAGCCTTCAATCCTCCTTCCAGGAAAATCTCCATTTAATTCACGACCAAACACCTCCTCTCCATTACAGCGATAATTCTTAATAACTTGTACATAAATATCTGGTTTTACGGTTATTTTGTATTAAACCAACTTCCATCATGATATCACTCAATATGATATCGACAATTCTCGGGGCCCTAGCAAGCTTAGCAGCAGCTCAATCTCCCGGTCAAGCATACACAGGAGTAGCCGGAAACAGCACCATAGCCGGATCCTCTCTCGGTCCCGACGCAAACGGTAAATACGAACTCTCCGCCCCTGGTATCCGAGCAAACTTCATAGCCTACGGTGCATCAATCTCTAATCTCTTCATCAACGACACCTCGGGTATCGAACGCGATATTGTCGGAGGTTTCGATAATGCAACTTACTATGGAATTGATAGACAACATCCGCATTTTGGAGGCGTGCCAGGTAGATATGCAAATCGTATCAAGAATTCGAGTTTTGTTATTGATGGGGAGACGTATCATGTGTTGCCGAATGAAAATCCGACAGAGGATAATCCGGAGGGTGTTGATACGTTGCATGGTGGTCCGAAAGGTTGGGATTGGAGAAATTGGACTGTGGTTGCTCATACTACTAGTTCGATTACTTTTAGTTTGACGGGTGAGTTTTGGTTTTGGTTTTCTGTTTGGGTTTTGGATGATGTGCTAATTTTTGGTATTAGATCCAGATGGAGAACAAGGATTTCCCGGAGAGGTCGTTAGTTATGTGACTTATACTTTGAGTAATATGACTTGGTCTTTCAAAATGATTGCTATTGCTACCACAAAGAAAACTCCTATTATGTTGAGTTCTCACGTATGTTATTCTTTCATCTACCTGATATCATTACCTCTTCTCACAAGCATCTAACAAATCATCAGACTTACTGGAACCTTGATGGATTCGCCAACAACGAAACAGCTACCGCTCTCAACCATTCTCTTTACTTACCATACGGTGGTCAAAGAATCGGAACAGATAGCATTCTTATTCCCACAGGCGACATCATAGCAAACCAACCCCAATCCCTCAACGATTTCTGGAGCACCCCCAAACAAATCGGCGCCAACTTCAGCAACCCAGACCTCCTCGGAAACTGCGGCGAAAACTGCACCGGCTACGACACCGCCTACCTCACCAACCGTGACGCCGCCACTCTCTCCTCCTGGCACGTTTCCCCTGTAGCACGTCTCCGCTCCGCCTGGTCCGGCATCCAACTCGACATCTTCACAGATCAACCCGCTTTCCAGGTATATTCCTGCGGAGGCCAAAATGGATCTATGGCGTTGAAGAAAACGCAGGGTCTGTTTAATGTTTCGGATAGACCTCGCACGATTCCGCAGTATGGATGTGTGGTTATGGAAGTCGAGGATTGGATTGATGGGATTAATCAGCCGGAGTGGGGGAGAAAACAAATTTGGGGTCCGGAGGATGGTCCGTATGTTTTGGAGGCGAAGTATAGGTTTAGTTTGAATGATACTCGGATGGGTTTATTGGGTGAGGGGTCGGGTTAGGTGGGTGGTTTGTGTGGGTGATGTGATGGTGATGTGATATGATATGATTGAATGATTGATTTGAGCTTTTGGTGGGATGTTGAGAAAATTCGAGGTAGAGAGGGAGGGTATTTAATACATACGTACATAGATACATACTCGTAGTAGTAGTAGTAGTAGTAGTAGTAGTTAATGAATTACATCCCAAACTTTAATAAAACTCACAATTTAGTTTAAGAGAATTTATTAATCCTATCATATTAAATAATTATAAATGATTAAAATTATAAATAAATAAATATATATTTCGACATTAATGTATTAATTATTTATATTTTTTAATAATTAAAAAAGCTTGAGTATACGGAGGACGGCTGTGACGGAAATCCCTGCTTTCCTCCCACCTTTATTATATAAGAAACCTCAGGTACATTAACCATGTCCACACATGATACGATTACTCGAGATTAGTATGCGATTTAGGTGACCTGAGGATCAGATCCGGACAAGTACTCGGTATCAATGGTTATCGGTAAAGTAAGATCATTGGAGGAATAAATATGACTTCTTTTTGCCTAGCTATTGCGGCTAGGCCATTCATTTGTGTATATATAGAGTAGCTATCCCCATCTACAGGTGCTCTTCACCTGTAGATTTTAAGTTAAATAAAATTGCTGGTCTATAAACACCCTTTTGGTCACAACGGCTCGAAAAGTAACACGACTATAGGGCCTTACAGGGTGTTAGCACTATAAAGGGCCTGTAATTTTACACTTGGATCACCTAATTAACGCTATTTAATATTTAGCGAACCTATAAGGATTAGTATATGATAAATTTCATTTAATCCTAATCTGTTACGAGGTTTGCCGTCTAGATCACGTGGAAGTGCTCTAGGCTCTCGAGGTGGTTTATAACTAGGCGTCAAGTAGGGACTTAAGTAATGGCAATGATGCAATTCGTAACTAATAGTAGAGTATACTAAATGATTGATCTTGAGCACAAAGCTCTATACAAAGGAAATCCATCTTGATTATATAGACCTTCATGCCTATGGCTAGTCAGGACCGCGCAGCGGTCCATAACGTGACTTAATCACGTTACCCTGGTTTAGTCATGTGACGCGGCGTAGAAGATAGCCGTCGTGTTACGTGACGGTTGTTACCCACTAGTGGCTCACGTGCACTAGCCCTGTATATAAAGACCTTCTCACTTAGAATCTTCTTAGTTCTTTAGTTTTAGATTCTAAGTGATTGAATTGACTCCGTTTACGACTTTTCCGTCACACGTCGTAACACTTCTATAAAATTAAACTTTTTATTTTATTAAAGTAATAAATATATTTTATAATATATATATTAACTTTTTTACAATTAATATTTTGTTACGAGGTTTGCCGTCTAGATCACGTGGAAGTGCTCTAGGCTCTCGAAGTAGGTTTATAACTAGGCGTCAAGCAGGGACTTGAAGTAATGACAATAATGATATGCAATTCGTAACTAATAGTAGAGTATACTAAATGATTGATCTTGAGCACGAAGCTCTATACAAAAGAAATCCATCTTGATTATATAGTCCTTCGTGCCTATGGTTAACTAGGAATCGTCGTTCCTGGGAACGAGCGTTCCTGGTTGTTCCTAGGAACGTTCGTTCCTCACCGTTCCATCACATGTTTTATGGTCATGTGACATACTAATCGTTTTGGACGTAACATATTTTTATGTTTTATTTTAAAATTCTAAAAGATTTCTTTTTTTTCTTTTGTATAACTTTTATTTATTACTTATATATAAAATAAAGATTTTAATTTAAGAAAATATTAAAAATATAATATTCTCTCTATAGTTCTTCAACCCCATAGATTCTTATACTAGGTAAGTAGCATTATAAAGTAATTATCATCAAATCAAATATCACTAAAATGTGACGGAAATCCCTGCTTTCCTCCCACTCTTATTATATAAGAAACCTCAGGTACATTAACCATGTCCACACATGATACGATTACTCGGGATTAGTATACGATTTAGGTGACCTGAGGATCAGATCCGGACAAGTACTAGGTATCAATGGTTATCGGTAAAGTAAGATCATTGGAGGGATAAATATGACTTCTTTTTGCCTAGCCATTGCGGCTAGGCCATTCATTTGTGTATATATAGAGTAGCTATCCCCATCTACAGGTGCTCTTCACCTGTAGATTTTAAGTTAAATAAAATTGCTGGTCTATAAACACCCTTTTGGTCACATAAAACTAAACATCACCAATTAATAAAGACATTCATGATATCTTACCACTGAGCATCAAGGATCCAAAAATCATAGGTTTATATTTATAGAGAATACCAAAGTACTGAACAACCCATCATTATTTCAGGTTGCATCCATTCAAGTGCACGTCCAATAGTGAATCTTGTCTAATCTGGCCTGATGTTATCCATCTAATCTATTCCTACCACAACATACAAGAGACATATCCATCCTCACCCCACAAACCACAATCAATGAGGCATCCCCGAATTCTTAACACAAATCTGAAACAATTCATCCACAAAAGTTTGTGGTTCAACATCTTCACTAACTACCGCTGTAACCCCCCTATTTCCCTGCTTAGTATCAAATCCCTTTCCTTTCTCATCATTCCTCTTATCCGAACTATGCTTTACATCCCTCGCAACTTCCGTGCTGACCAATATACCCATCGATTGATAAGAAGCCGCTCTTATTGGTTTCTGTCTTTCACTTCTTTCACTAGTATCATTTTCATCTCTGGAGCGACCAAGACGTGTATCCCAAAGAGTTCTTAAACGTTCCAAGGTGGGCCGTGCTTGTAACTGCTTTTCCCTCTTGGGTACGATTCGAGTTATGGCGTTTCCAAAGGGGTCATGTTCCTCGACTACCTCGAGTTCCACATGGCCATACTCTCTAGTTTGTCTCCAACTTGATAGAAGTTTCTTTTCTTGTGAACAATCACGAGCGGTTGCCGCGAATATTGGTGAAAATTCTCGATATATGGCACGTACAAAAAATGAATGATCCAAAGCATTCTTGTAAACACGTTGTTGTAATTTAAATAGAGTAAGCGGAGCAAACGCGCACTTTTTACCAGGTGCACGTCGAGTATTGATAGGTACCATGAGTCGGAACGCAATTAGAAGTCCTATGCCGGGCCTGTGGTTTTCTGAAGTTCCACGACATGGAGCTTCGATAGGCTTGGATATCAGGCATGCTTCGCTGAAAATGGGATCGCCAATCTCGTATTTCAAGGACTGGAGTGTAGTAAGTAGTTGATTTGAAAATGTCTTCTCCCTAGTAGGTAGCTCTTTTGCCTTAACAGCCTTGGCCAAAAACCTTTGACATTCAGATACATTAAGGGTATTCATTGCGGTCAAAAAGTCCTTCTGCCAGTCTTCCAGTGTTTCAAAGGGCAAGGTCATCGTCGGGATTTGGCTTTTGGCGTCTTTCCTAACAACAATATCAAACCCTCCTCGAACAGAAGCTCGAATTGCAAAGCAGGCGAGATGACAACCAGGTTCTAGCATATCATCCTGATTCGAAAATCTCCACAGTTCCGAGAGATGTTTGGTAAGATCTTCATCCCCGATTTTCATAGTGTACGATAGTAGTGGCAAAACTTGTTCGACCTTAGCAAATCGATATCCAGCAGCCTGTAGAGCCTCTGCCTCGCGTCTTTGTGCTTTCTTGACAAGAAAGAGCAGTTGACCGGTTCCTGCTCCTGCATCTTTTTCGATGTCCTTCCTAGGCCTTCTGATTGCCCGACGACCACCTTTGATCTTTTGCTTGATATCACCAATTATCCTCTCGATCAAGTCGCTCAAAATACTGACCCGAGATTTGATGATTACTGATAAAGGAACCTTCTGGCCAGTACCGATGACATCGTCATACAAAGGACCTAACTTTTCCATTGGGATACGAAGATCATTCGCAAGATCAGCGGCGGCGATGCAAAACAGTTCTCGGAATACGATGGAATAATCCTTAATCAAGTCACCGTCGCTATCCACAAGGCTCACTTCTTCCTTGCCACCAAGTCGATTCTTCTCAATATGATCATTAATATTCAGACGCATCGCTGGAATAATGTCTTTAACACAATGCCAATTCTTTGCTGCTCTAAATATCCACAGAAATATCGGATGTGAAGTGTTGAAAACTTCACTCAAGGACTAGAATATGTCAGTTTAACAATAATTACAAAAGAGTAGCTTGACTTGCCCCTTCAATGAAGGAATTAGTAATCTTTCTATTTGGTAGAATACCCTGCGAGTCAACTAATACATTTCCATGCTTATCGAATATGGCAGCCAACAAAGTGAGTTTTTGAGAACGATTGATAGTATCTTGTTTGTGTGTGAAGAGCATGAATTTTAATGTTATGTTTATGATTGCCGCAAGTATGGTCTATATGAATCAGCATTTTGCTTCAAACTCCGTAGACCTAACATACCAGAACTGTAGCCACAATTATGGAAAATTGTTGAGTCGGGTTTGACGTTGGAGGTGTTGGAAGACCATTCAGGCGATAGTGCGTGCCGAGAGAAGATAGCCAATGCAATCCAGATATGGCAAATGCGAGTATACATGCACAGGTACCCTTCTTGGACCAACCTGATGCCCATGATGAACGCCAGAGGAAAAACAAGTAGATCGATCCTATGCTACCTGAAATAGCTATGAAAGCAGAAATTAGGACCCAGATAATATTGTAAAGGCATGTGTAGTTAGCAATACTAGCTTGTCCAAGGTAATGCATGCCACATATTCCCAGACCGGCTAGAGTTCCGCCTAGACCAACGCGGGGTAAATCTACTGTTTCATTTGAGCCAACGGTCCAAAATGCGATGAAGAATACTATGACGGGAAGAAAAAATGACTCGGACGTCGAAGACTGATTGTATGAGATTTGTAAGGTAGGATCGCCATCACCTAGAATGATTCCTTCGTCACCGACGAAATGCATACACCAAATAGCAACACCTCCCATCGATATTGAAGCAAACACAAGCACTGTCCTAGTAGTTGATTAATCTAGGGTTTGGATTTGTAAAATTAACACAGAAGATCTTACCAATTATAACGACCCTTCCTTGTTGTTCTCAAATTTAGTAGCTCAAAGGCTGTCCATGCGCCTACAAAGCTGACGAAGTATGATAAAATGATATAGCCAGCGTCATATTTCTTGTCGATGATATGCCCTTGCAATTTATGCCAGGCCTGAATAGTACTATTGACGGGAGCCGTGGCATTGCTCGTATTGTTAGCGTCGACCATAAATGATTTAGTTCGCAGTAGTTTATTAAGTAGTAACTAGTGCTACGAAAGCACTTGTTCTGTGCAAATTGTTTAAGAGGCCGAATGTCGAGGTATGGCGATGTTGCCGTCATTTGTGTTATGGATCGCTGTGTATCGAACGAAGTCCTCTCATCGCCCAAGTTGAGACTTCGTCTAAAACAGTAAGGTATTCCAAACAGTACAAATTTTTGTTTGAGAACGATTAAAACCAGGTCCACGGCCGAATATGGGCGAGAGGTGGATTAGGAGGGGAGGGATCAAAAATCGTGATTCTCGAGCGAAAATTTGGTTCTGAATGAAAACCAGCACTCGGTACAGATTCCAAGTTCTGCTCAAAAGTGAGTATCGAATCTGGTTCTAGTCCCAGGATAACACCAGCGTAAAGAAGGCACTCGACGAGGTAGTGCATAAAAACTCGATTGAGGGAGTACGAGAAGTTACCCGTGGAGAACGAAGATCGACGTGAACTCTGGATGTGTGCAGCGTGTAAACAATTTTAATACCCAATGTCAATATAGGAGGAGTAAGAAATAGGGAGTAGTTATACTATACGTAATGAAGAGCAATAGGAATGATTGTAGGTAATGCGAGATACATTTCCGAAGCATGAACTTGGTGATGAGGTATGGTAAGTAAGAAAAGAGCTCTCGCAAGAGATAGAGATGCTGTATTCGTTAATTAATTCATTAGGAAAGAACTTATTGAAGATTTAAGACGCAAGGCCTCTCACAAACCCAGATTCTGGAAGGAACGAAGGACATGCCGGAAGATACCCATGGCCGGCAGTCTCCGATTGAGTTCTCAGAACAGCGGTCATCACGCTCACATCTTAAAAGTAAGGGATCCCCAAAATCATTTGGGACTCGTTCCAAGAGACATATGCACTTGCATAGTCTTACCATCACCTCGTAGTGTGTGCATAGAATGAATACGTGCGTTCGCCGTCCTCGCGACATGTATAACCTTAGTCCGATGCTGCTTTAAATCACCTTCCTCCATAAATCTAAAGCGGCACTATTATACCCAATTTACCTTTTTCCATCAAAGTTTATCTTCACCACATACAACCAGACAACGAGAATACACTCCCTGTCGTTTGACCGTTACAACAGTACAATGACAGTCGACATCTCGCCATGAAGATTATAACGGAGCTTTAACCATGTCATCCCGAGCATCAAAATGATGAATGCACACATCTACAACATCTCTCATCACCCAACCAGCACAAATCGCTATAGTGTAGCTCCTCCAACCTCCCGGTTCGCGAGATTTAACTCAAGTCAAAAAATGAGTATCTAAGTGTATTTTCTCGGAAGGAACGAGAACGAGCTATACACCTGGTGAACTTGTGAAATGCTCACAGCTGGTGTATTGCAACTCTCACAAGCGGTAATTTTCATATATCAGGGCTTGTATAGGCCTACTTGTTACTATTTCTCAGTCTAGAGTCTGTCATTGGATCACCAGGAATCTCATGAGACGCCATCTGCTAATCACCACAGGTGAAAAGCTGGAGAACCTACTACATAGAACATATGGGAAATTCAATCAGATATATTGCTTCAACAATCAAAACCTCCCAATGGTACTATGGCTCAGCAAAGATGTTGTTGGTTTGTTTTTATTCCGCTTATTTAGTTCTTGTTTAGGCTGAGATACCGAAGAGCAGCTTTAACAAAGTGGCCAAATTTCCCTGAAGCTCTCTCACTCTGTCTCCTACCAAGCTTAGGGATTCTACCCTCGAGGCTCTGCACTTTTGGTAAAACCTTCCACTCAAAACTTAACGATATATTTGGGTTCATTTGTGTAGTCCTTGCAGATTTGGAATGCTGTACATGACTTCGAATCACATGTATGTGTGAAATAATGAAGAATCTTGTTGACTTGGTGACAGTGTTCTCTATGAGTATCAATTTATATCAATGTAAGTGGTATAATTGAACTACATTGATCTCGTGGACGTCGGTAAATGTCCAAGGCACCATGAACCTTCTGCCCTTCATCAAAACGGCCCACCCTATTGTAATTCGTTTACGCTGTCTTGGATCTCTTGGAACCTTCGCTGGATTCCCCATTTGCAGGCTCATCGTATTCCCTTTTCCGACCATCGCTGTTTGCCCATCTGTTATTCCGAAAGGGATCATTGGAGGTAAGAGTGTCAGAAGTCATTGTGCGTGAGGCTTGAGGCTGAGTATTTCGCCCTGATTTGTAGATGGGTTTTGGCTCAACGGGACCCTTTTTTAACGGATCGTAAGTGCCATTCTGAATCTTTGACCAGACCTCACCAACCGGCGCATTTGGGTGCACCCTTGCAATCATTCCCACCGAATCCAGCCTTTCTTCAGCCTTGAATAATTTCGATTCCATCTCTCGCACGATTGCCATGTCTCTTAAATGCTTGTCATGATGTTCATCTTTTGATCGCTTGATTTTGGTCTCGTATTCTTCGCAGACATTGTTCAACCTCTGATTCGTTCTAAAATTAATCTGATCTCTCACAATTGGAAACACCCCTATCAATCTCGACAGTCTCATCCTCTTCGGCAGAATCATCTCGTCCTCTGAAAGCATCCGTGTTGCTTGCAGCCTATCCAATTTCTTCTTGGTATCCTCAAGTTCATCTTGAAGCTGTGTAATAGCCACGGGATTGATGATTCCTTGTGTCATTACTGGCAGTCGGACTCGTGGTTTTGTACTTTCGACAGCCCCGTCGGCTTTTTCATCGTTGCCATCGCCTTCGTTGTTCGTCTCCATTTTTATTCCTTTCTCTTCTGATAAGTATCTTTCGATCCGTTGATTTTCAGCCAATTAGTCCACGGAGATAGAGACTGGCAGAAGCTCGCGACTTTGTAGAATGATCCAATGTACATTCGCTTGAAGGTTCAACAGCAAGAGAAAGATTTCTGTCTGAATTATTTTTCAAATCTTCTGCTTCCAATTTTCCTCTGTATTGATTGAGCCGGTGATTTATGAATGTCGCATTGCTTCATTGGTTCTAAAAATGATGAATTTTGCGTTGTTTGTGCTTAAAATGTCAAGATGCTGAACCAATAAATAAGTGTTCAATGAGGTCTAGTAGATACGAGGTGTTGTATCCTAAGATGTTGTATGTTGAAAGATTATTGCCGTAGAAATCGGAGATATTTAATAAGGAAGTTTTGTTTGTCACAAATAGAATGGAAACACAGTCCAACATCATTTTGCTGAAGGAAGGACCATTCACCAGCATATCATGAAAAAATGTTCATTCACTGTCATCAAGCCCAAGCCTACCAGTCTTCCAATATCGATAAGAAGCTCTGATATTTGCCGTATTTGATTGAAAGTATGGAGTGCATTCGAAGGTAAATTGTATTCTTACAATTTTGATCGTATAGAAGTTCGCACGTTTGGATGTCGCAAATAACGTGACATGCATGTGCATGTAGCCAGACTCCGAATGCATAACAAACAACATATTTCTACCTCTTACCCAAAGATCTCATGCTTCAGCTTCCATTTGTACCCTTGCATACTCTTAACAAGCTTCTTTCCTTTCCACTTCAGGATGACGCGGAAGCTCTCGATATATATTCAAATAACCTTATGACACTGGAAAGTTGTCGGTATATTCAAACGTGATCCATTATATGGGTGACTTTTAATATCATGTTCGTTGAGGAGGGCAGGCGCACTGTTTGCTGTCTTTATAGAATTATTGCTCCTTAGTTGATGGAGTGTGCCAGATTCCCTGCGATCTACCGGTCTTTGTAAGTTGAGTTCTAAATTTCAGCTGATTGTTCAACACTATGACACCACTTATTGCTATGGCCTGGAGAACAGACGAATAGTCACCATAGTCAGATATAGAAGGAAAAGCTTGTACGTTGAAACTTTTATAGAAGTTGGAGGGTTGGGAAGAGCTTTTGATGATTTTCCTTTCCTTTCTTAGGTTCAAGTTGAACAATAGTAGCCACGTTTTTTATCATATCCTTGATATTCGTCAAACCTCGTAGGGCAAATTATCTAATTGGAGTCATAGAGTTGAAGTGAGTCATTCGTGAATTGAATTGCATATCTGCAGCACAGGAAGAAGCGCTTCTATTCCCTTCTATTTTCCAGTCACTGTAGTGACTCATGAAAATTCCCAATAGTATATTACCGGGGAACGGAGGCTTTTTCGTGAGTGTTCCTTCAACATTCTACCCTTTTTTATTTTCATTCATGTTGACCATAGGACACACGATACATCATACCACACCACTTTCTATCTTACTCAGCCATCAATTCATATACACATTCTGTCAGAGAGATTTTTAAGATTTTTGATATGTAAGAGAACAATAAGACGGTGCTACGGGGAGGAGCTAGTGCTAAAATTTTCCTGTCTAGTATTTATTAATACTTGTTGATGTTTGAAGCCACTCGAGTGATGGCAACTTAGTCTTAAATGCCTGAAGACTCTTCGGGTAATACTGGGCTAACATTTACAGACCTAGAGATTTGGGTTAATGGTGGCTGAATATTGCCATATGCTCATTTCAATCCTATCCGAAATGTGATTCACGTAGTGAGTTCTCTTTTCTTTTCTTTTCTTTAGTAGCTTGTGTTCCCAGGAACAAAGCCATCGAAGGTCGACAACACAGTCAACAAAAATAGGAAGGAGTACTCGAAACCTGGATTTAACATACTCATGGTGCCGCGGTATTAGGAAACATTTTACAACGACTAGTGGAAATCTGAGGATGAATCGGAAGATAACTGAAAGGCTACTGTCTATGAAATATTGAAAGTTTTTTGAACAAAAGTCCTCGCTATGCATAATGTACAATTATTCACATCGTTCATTAAGAACGCAATGCCCTTTCCAGTCACTGCGAAATCGACTTTTACCTTTCAAGGACTCCAATTTGTTTGCATAAATAGTTCCATTTCCATCATCTCGTTCTTTTTCCTAATCTATTTTCCTAAATTCATCACGATACATCACAAAACATCATAAAACACAACAACACAGGTCTAGGATATCGAAGTCGAGAGATTCTCAAGTTCTATTTACCATAAATAACACTTCGAGTTATTTCATGCAGCTCATCAACTCGCTGTTGTCTCTATATGCTAACCCTGCGTCTCACAAGATGTCATTTAATGTGTTTTTTATGTAGACCATCGATCACACCACATATCATAGGTCACCATCGAAAAGAAAGATCCAGCCCCACGCTTGAATACCCTTCAAGTTCCACATCATCTATTACCACATCGGCGTCTTCGTCGAAGCTCTTCGTAAAGACCATGGCAACTGCCCGTGGAAAGGAATTATCCACTGGAGTCGACAGCTTTGTTAGCTATCCATCTGCCGGTGACCCATCTGACGACGAAAGAATCTTCCTTTTTCTCGATGAAACAAATCCACCAAAAAACAAAGACATTCTGCAAAAGCCTCGAGCTAGAACTTCTGCAAAACAACCTCTAGCACATAAACCTACACAGGGAAAAGAGCCCGAGAGAACTTATGGGGAGTCGCCCCTCCAAGCGAAACAAGAGCGAGGCCATTCTAAAAAGACCGAGAAGCATGAGACGAACGAGAGGTCTTCATATCATCACCGGAGTCCAGCAAGATCACGAAGTAAACATAATATCAACCATAATATAGCATCTCAAAGCGCTTCCCATTTTGAAGAAGCTAGTACTGCTCAGGGAACCTCGGGACAGCATAGAGCCCCCAGGGACAATTCTGATCGTTCAAAGCTTGATCGTGAACAAATATCTAGACTGAATGATCGGTTCGGACCTCATGATCAAATGCAACGAGCTGCGTCAATACCTATGGTGGAGCCTACCAATCATGGAACGCCCGAAGTGAATCAATTCAATAATTCCGCGGGTCAAGTGTATGATGGTTACGGGACATGTTATGGGCAGCCGCGATACAGTGAATTTCCACCTGCTAATTCCGGAGTAAACAGTTATGCAAATCCAAACTACGCTTACCCTCACTCTCAAGCATTATTAAATTATTCTAATCCATATCCAGCAGTTTAACAAATGCCAACACAGTCAAACCCCTTCGCTCACAACGCAGCAACTGTAGAATTGAAAAATTTCCCGACCGAAACGTATGGCTACTATAAAAGTATGCTCGAGTATCAAAAAGCCTATCTTTCTGCAACCGATCAATGTATCAAAGCTGAGCATAGGAGGAAATGGGACGCGGATTACTCGAAATTGAAGGGCAGTAATGGCATCTTCCTTGTCGAAGTACCCCTCGGACATCCTCTTAGAAGGGCCATTTTGCTGATGGATACGAGAATCGATACAAAAATGAGTCCCTGGGAGGATCTTCCATGCGCACCTAAGCCCTGAGAGAACGTAAGGTTACCCAGGTACTTGCGTGAAGATAGCTCAGATAATTACTGCACGGTATTGATAACACACGAATTGTTACTTTTAGTTAGCAGCCTATGCCACTATTTCTTTTTGTATTAAAATTCTCTTTCCCGATGAATTTTAGCAAAAATAAAAGTTGAGCTCGTTCGCTTTCATGACTTGTCTGATTGAGCTGTTAACGTTCTCTAGAACGTAAAAGTATTTGCTTCCATTGGTGATTTTAATGATGACGTGACACTTATATGTAGCATCCTGGATTCTCACTTGTTTGGAGAAATCTTTCGAAAAGATTAATAGTCATGACCACTGTTCAAATAGTCCAATAGATGATGTTCACCCACCAGACCCAATATGATTACAATACGACATGGTTTAAGAGCGGTGTGTGTCTGGTAGTTCTGAATCAGAACTTCTAAGTGAAAAAAAGTAGTAAATTAATATAATCAACTGAAAAAATTTTATAAAATACAATTTTTAAAAGATTAAATTCTATAATTGTAATTTAATGATTACTTTGAAAATAATAATAATAATTATAACATTTTTCAAAACTATTTATTATATATTAAACAAAATTATATTCAGATTGATAGTTTTTTTTTGAATTCTTAACATTTTAATAACAAGAGAATTAATTAAAATTCATCAGAGATTAAAGAAAATATTCAAAAATATCGTTATTCTGTAAATGTTTATATATTAAAAATTAATATAAAAGATATTTAAAAGTAACGTAACTTATGGTGAACCGGGTCATATGGGGAACCGGGTCACAAAATTCAATTTTCTCTATGCGATCTAGTTCTACGAGCTACACATTCATCTAATTCCAACTCTGAATCGCTTGAACTATTCTCTAGCTCTTCCTCTCCAATAACCTCTTCTAATTCTTCAATTGAACGTTTACATGACCATCCTTGTAGCCTTTTCTCCTTGGGCTTCTCCTTTGCCTCACATACGATTTTCAATACTTCCTCAGTACTAAAGACGAATTGGTCTTGTAATTTGATCCTTTTGCCTTTAGTTCTTTTCTTTCGAGTCTCGATTACCTCCTGAGCATCAGCGAGCTGTTTCCGAAGTAGGATTATCTCAGTATTTTGAGATTCTACAAGCCTAGTCATTCTCTTGGCACATCGACGAGTTGGTGATACAGGAGAATCACTACCTGCTAGAACTGAATTAAAGGTCTGATTTGCTTGCCTTAGTTCTGTCGCATCTGGAGGAGAACTTCAGAGTATAGAAAAGTCTAGACCTTGATTGGTAGTTCTTATTTGTGAAGTAAAAGGTTGCTGGGAGGGGTTAAATGGTAATGTATCAAATACTTTTCGTAGGGAAAAAGGTACCAAACCAACCCCTTTCCAATTAATTTTAATATTAAAAGAATTGATTATTTTTATTCTGATCTTCTGAAATAGTTCTACCTATTCAGCTCTTTGGATTCGCTTTACACTAGTCCGAGAATATCGATCGATCTTTAAAGAATGATATCATTTTATTGATCCATATACTCTAATATCAAGAAGCTGAAGCAAATGAGAGTAATAAAGGGGTAGTATAAGCAAATCGATATCTTTATTTATACAAAAAGCAATTAGATTGTTTATAATATAATTTGAATGATCATCTATGATTAAAAGTCGAGACTGGTCACCTGACACTTTCTTGGATTCTGACTCGAAAACTCTTTGTAATTATTCTAATCTATAATTATTTGAGGTTTATTTATTTATATTAGTAGAGAACTACTAATCTTGAAATGCATCCTTTGGAATCCATATAATATTTGTATTTTGAGCCTTGAAAATAATCATAGGTGATAAAGCCTTCTCAATTGGACTAATATATTCAAATACAATTATCCATTCTTGTTTACTAATTGTAATCTTCCAATTCGATTTCTAAATAGAATCGATTATAATCCAAGTATTTTGAATACCTTCAATTGCAAATCTAATTTCGTTCATATTATATATATTATTTAATTTATATTTTCGCTCAATAAGATGTATTTGGAATATATCAAACTAAGTCTAAATATTCTTTGGAATTGTCTCTTTAGTCCAATTAAATTCTAATTGATGTGAATAGCATACTTTAAGTTCTGGATGTCGTTTTTGGAACCTATAGATCCATTCGTGGTCTATAGGTGGAATATTTGTCGAGGTAGGGTTTGGAGAGGATGCGACTTGAACGTATCGAATACGAATTTCATCGGCCATTTCCTTTATTAATATAGATATAACAAAGAATCCAATAATAGTAAAATATGAGATCCATTGTATTAATATATTTTCTTCTGTGTTTGAAAGAATTTGAGCCATTTCGTGAGATTGGATATATGATTTCCTTCCAGCGACTCTAACTATAAGAATTGACTTAGAAACTTCAAAATGCTCTGTAGCCTTTCTAATTGAATTAAATTCCTTTAATTGAAGTGCAATAATAGCATTCTATATCTTCTCTTCAATTTGAGAAGGTGTAAGAGGTGGTTCGAGACGTATAGCAAAAATTATTATAGTTTGAAGTTAGTGATGGGCTAATTATGACTCAGTTTACTATAAGTTATATTATTAATTTTTATATATAAAAAAATATATAACGTGGTTTATTAGCGAGTCGCCACTATCAACGAGTCGTCACTTTTTCACTTATTCAATCATTTTAAACTTATTTTAATTAATAATTATTGAATCAATTGATTTAAACTATTAAGAATCTAATAATCTAAATGTGACGGAAAAGTCGTAAACGGAGTCAATTCAATTACTTAGAATCTAAAACTAAAGAACTAAGAAGATTCTAAGTAAGAAGGTCTTTATATACAGGGCTAGTGCACGTGAGCCACTAGTGGGATAACAACCGTCACGTAACACTAAAGTCTATTATATTATAAAAACAAGTTCTTGAATTGTAATCAATCTTTTTATATTTACTATAATATCGATTAATAAATGATTCTTTATTGAAATTTTCTTTATTTTGATATTTATTATATTAAATCTAAATATTCATTTCTTATTATAATATTATATTTATAATTTTCTAATTAATAAATACTGTTAAAGTGAATGGTTCCTGCGTAGCACGTGCACAGGGCACTAGTCCTGTTAGGACTAGATTGAGAAGCTCTCTTACAGAGAGCTTCGCACTTCCGTAGAACTTAGAAGAGAGATTAACCTACTAGACCAATATTACCTCAGTTCTGCCCTATCAGCTTCCCACTATTCCCTGTGTGAGGTCATTCCTTTTAACATATTTTATTATTTATAAATAGAACAGTTAAAAAGTTGTTATATTAAGTATATTTTAATAATAGTTAAAAATGTATAATTTAAAAGTTTGATCGATTAGATCCTTTGGAAGAGTATGTTATATCATTCAATCAAAGAGTGTAAACCTCTGGAAAACGATCGATGTGAAAACTAGACTATATGTTCAGTTGGCCTTTAGATCCTTCTAAGTGGACGTGTCGTACATGCTAGGTTTTAGGTTTACAGATGATTAGGTTGCCACAAGTCGCTCGGAATGTCTCGCAAAACCAACGACAGGGGTCCAGAACTGGTCAATCTTTCTTTCCTCTTTTCTATACCTCTCATAACACAATCAAATAGCAGAATTTAATCGTCGAGGGCATCTCCTGTGTATTGAGAAACTTTCTATTCAGACCGCAGTCATGCGAGATTACCAATGTGCTCTATGTGGTGTCTCTTTTGGGGTTGATTTCCACCTTTATGATGGTCGTATTTCTGAAGATAACTTGAATTGGACTAAAGACTTTTGCATTTGTAAGATTTAGATTAGAAACTTCTAGTATTATTTCCTGATCGATCATAATAAAGAGGAAGAACGAAACGCACGAGCAGATTCAATGTCTTGAAAAGGAGATGAATCGGCCGTAGTGGTCCTTAAAGGCTGAATGTTTGAGAGCATTGTAATTCTCTTCATCAGCTTGCACGAGTTATTGGGAATTAAGCATATTTTCTGACAGATTATCAGTCTGACTAACAGAGGTCGCCGTCCGGCTTTCAATTAATCAATTATTACCGAAAACTTGGCAGTGGAGAAGCTGCTTGCACCTCCAGGTACTCTCATTATTGGGGTTTATATGGATATAGTTGTGAGTTTTCTCCGCAGCATTATTACAAAATGATACTAAGCTCCGCTGTAGCACTTTGACCAGTATCAACCGAATTCGAAAAGCTTTGGGTTGATATGTGTACCTGCTGAGTGTTCATCACCGTTGGGTATTTTACCAGAACTTCAAGCATATCGGCTTCTTGACGACCACTTTAACATGTGGACGGGGGATTCTATACCCATTCCAGGATATTTATCTGGTGAAACTATTGGCTCACAGCCATCTAATGGATTCACCAATTGGATTTGTTTTGATAACGGCATGGAAAAGGCGAGGTATCATCAGTTGGACTGTCGGGCGTCAGGTCAGTCAAACAGCCGATGCTTAATCAACCCAGACTCTGATGTGATAGACTCTATATTTGCTATGCTAATTATAAACCGACAGCGAAGTACGGTGCCACATCTTGTCATTCGTGATGGTGAGAACATATCCGAAATTACTGTTGTTTCCGGCACCGCTGGGAACACTCTACAGATTGTTGAAATCAAACTAGAAACTTATACTGGCACTCCCAGAAATATTTTCACAGAAGCCGCAAGAGACAGAGGGATCAACGAAGAACGTGGAATTACTCTTAAAAGCTCTTCATCGCTAATATTGGTTGGTCTCGCTTGGTCATTTGATTTGGGATCTTTGCGACCGGCCATGCATGGGTTACAACCATTATATAAGCTGAGAGATGGTGTTGAACATTCAGATATTCAGAGTACACTTTATCCAAAAATTAACTGAGCAAAACCTCCGTCAGTTGACCTCCAATTACGACCTGTTCCCGCTATGCAGTCAAATACGTCTTCATTCGATTCTAGTGTCCCTAGTCACAGCTCTAATCATCATAGGCTTTCTCCATCTTCTTCGCTGGTTTTGATCAATGTTTTCTCTAATAGCTTCCTCCAGGGAATGGAATTCTTCTATCAATTCGGCCTTAAGGAGACCGTGGGAAACCTCATAGGATCGAGTCACCAGATTGTACTCGGCATAGGCGAAAGCATTTTCTCCGTTCAGTTTTATGAACGTGTGCAGTGCATATTCTCAGATGCTACATACCCAAGAGATGTCATGTGCGTGGAAGGGATAAGTGTAAGTCGTATCTAGGTCATCGTTTAGATACCTTGCTGACCCATCTTGCGATGATAGTTCGGCATTGTCAAGTTTATCAATGGAGAGGCCCAAACGCGATTGAGCATGTACTGTGGATGTTCAAAGCCATTTGGGCCTTTCTAAAGCAACAAGATTGTTTGTAAAGAGCTTCTCAGCACAAGTCTATGGATTGGCTCTCTTCCTCTTTACCACAAACCCATGATGTTGTTCTAGCCCCGGGCACATCGTTTCTAGGCATTTATGCTGAAGTTCTGCCGGTATATCTAAGTATTCGGATCATGGGAATAGTGCCAACAAATGATAGACCCTGATTCGCAGGGCTGGTGTCCTCGTATCTGGTATACCTTCAGCCGATGTTGATGAATATCGAAAAGAGTATACTCTTCTCACACCATTTCAACACTTTTATGATTCCGAGTAACATCTAACACCCTAGCTGGGAAACTCACCTCCATGCTCTTATGACCTAAAAAGCCCATCGGGCACCACACAAGGAGATTATCAAATCTGGTGTCCCGTTCCTTCGAGCCTCAAATGAATCATTATCTATAGACAACTGGTTTATAATTCTGAGCCAACATGTCTTATCATAGGGCTAGAGTTACAAACCGAAAATCCAGCGTCTAACACCCTCCTCGGTTTCCGCTCACTGTGTCAATGGAGTGCAGTGGCTATATCCTTGGACTATCAGTGTACAATGAATGGTTTGTGTACTCTGAAATCAAATACATCAGAGGAATTTGCTGGCCTGAAGTTATTAGGAATAATGACCGACGGCCCTTACGGACCACATGTTCATTTTGCAAAAAATATTTCTGGCAGGAGTTTCAGCCCAATGTCTTTCCTTCCTGTTGAAGAGGAAAGATTTCCTCATACATAGACCGTGAGCCCGAATAAATCGCTCCGTGGGCTATATGCATTTGTTGGTGTGAGTTTACCATTTTTATCCCTCAGTTTTACATTTGCTTCCACGAAGCCATGCTTTGTTTCTAGTTGAATATATACTAAACGTTTCATAAATTTCTAGGAGCACATCAACGCAATTGGAATCTTGGAAGAATGAAGTATCGCTAGTATCACGGTATTGGAGAGGACTCGGAACCATTGAATGGGAGTTCTCCTACATACAATCAAGGATTCTATCAATTTTAAGGGAGAATTCTTAAAAAATATCTTTTCTTCTCATATGGGTCGAGTCAATGCTGGGGACCTTTGTTCTTGATATGAATGTTAGTGCGACAACCAACTTTTCAGCGCGACAACAGAAAAATTGATCTCTTTGTCATTGATGCGCATTTTCAAGTAAACCATGAGGGATTCATATTTTTGATCACAAGCACTTATTTTAATGACTGTATAGTGACGTACGATACTAATCATCAGGACCTTTTGCTTGAAGCAATGCCGTCTTTTTGAATTATCGGTTTCAATGAACTAAACCATTCAACATGATAGATTTAGCTACAGTGCTACATCCCAGCATCACCTTACAAGCAAGACCTTCAAAACATTTAAAATATTCCTAATTAACCATTACATTTCTAACCCTGTAATTCCCTTTTCATATCCATATACATACACACATAACTAAATAATTCATAACATCATAAAACCCACGTAAATAAAGTCCCATCCGCACCCAAGAGAAAAAAACTAATCCCTAGCATCCCAAACCAACTCCACATCACCTCTATTCTTCCCCCTAAAAACCATCCCCCCATCACAGCACCTCGCAACCGCTCTCCTCAAATCCCTTCCCATGCCCTTAGGTCCACTTGCTACCACCCTCGTCCTATATGCCTCCCCCGCTCTCTCGTCCATAAACCTCTTAACCAGTCCCTGAAGATCCGGATGACAGCATTTACAACCACCCAAATAAGATATTTTAAATCCAACCCCTGAATTTTCCGCACTTGGATCCGAACCCGAATTCGAATTCGAAGTTAGGATTGTATCTGATTTAATCATTTTCTCCTCATTCCACGTATTTTCTTCTGTTTTTTCTTCTTCTTCTAGGGATGAAGAGGGTTCTTCTTCTTGCGTGATATAGATATGCACGTTGAGATTTATTTTCGTATCCCGCGCTCTCTGTTTAATCGTCTCCAATTCCTCGCTAATCCATTCTAGACATGAACTTCGTCTAACAGTCCAGATGAAATCGATAGCTCTTCCTGGATAAAAGGGTGCGTCGCTAGCAGTGGCTGCTAGAATAAGAGGTAAGGTTAAAGAAATACCTGTTCCGCCGGCTATGGCTAGGATATTGGTTGGTTCTTCGTTGGGTTTTAAGAGGCGTTCTCCGTAGGGTCCGCTGAGGATTACGGGAGTGGTGAGTTGATTATTTAAGGCTAGGGTTTTGAGATTTCCGGTTTCGCCGGATCGGCATCGGATGATGTAGGTGTGGTGGTTTGAGGGTAGAGATGCGATGGTTAAGGGATGAGATTGCCAGATATTGAGGGCGGGGAAACAGAGAAAGAAATGTTGGCCTAGGGACCATGGTGCATGTCTGTGATTGAATTCGAGACGGATTACTCCGCCGTCTTTGTCGTCGAAGTATTGGAGTGTTGATTGTGCGGGGTGGAATCCGAGACCTGGATCTGTTGTTAATTTATTTGATGGGATTGTTGGAAAATGATGGTAGCTTACCTGCATTACCATTGGAGTCAAAATATCCAACGTGGATTAGCAAGGTTCGGAGTATCCTTACACCTCGATCGATGAAAAATAATCCGAGAGAGGCAATCATCCAACATTTGAGTTGTTGCCAGTGGCCCCAACATGCACCAATATATAAACAAGCAACCACATAATGAGTCTTTCTAAAAAATTCATATCCTGTCCACTGAATAACCCTTCGGATACTAAAGACGTATAAAAAGCAAAGAAATATTAATGCGACGCAACCCCAAATCATATATGGCTGCTTTATCCAAGTTCGGAAAGTGGTAGGCTGTGGTTGATATAATCGTGCTTCGATAAGTGTCCAACCAAAGGCATGTACAGCCGATTGAATAAAGATGACACGACCAGTCCAGCGGTGTAAAAAGTTGAATGATTGATATGGAATTCCAGTAGCGAGACTAAGAACTGATTCACGAGAACTCAGTAGGACGGTGAAAGGTGTTAATGCGTATGCGAATGCTCCTACACGATCGGAAAAACCGCCGAGTCCAGACCGAGTATTGAATAAATTTGTCTTTTTTACTGGCGTTATCCATCTTTTATAGACTTCTCCCACAAAACTATTGTGTGTTAGAAAGGTTCTCGGAATAGGACACATGACTTACGTGAATATGAGTAAATAACCTAGCAAGATCGCTAGTATCAATACTTGCAATCTGGTAACATGTCCGAAGAATTTAACAAAACTCTCTGGAAGAAGAAATCGTCGGAAAGTAGCTGTTGTTCCTCGCCATGTACGATAATACCAAGATAAAGTGTTCGCTCTACTTTGAATTTCAGAGTCCCTGACTTCGGTGGTAATTTTCCCTGAAGGTTTCATGAAATGAAGTATGGTGAGTATAATAAGAAGACCTCCGATGACTGCCCATAGAATGAAAGTGTAGAGCATTGATAAATCATGAGTATGCTATGAGTGGTCAGCATTGAAACATGTTTGTACGTAGTATTGGATTATGTTGTGGAAGCGAATCTGATATAAGGGGTTGGTCTGGACTTTGAAGGAAATGACTTACATAAACAGCATCCAGATATTCACACGAGCCAGGATCATTCTTACATGGCAATATACGATCAACGTATCCCCAATGTGGTTCAAGCGTTGACATATTATCCGCCATTTGGATATGGCGAGCTTCGATAACCTCCATGATGCCTATAAGATACCGGTAGATCCAAAAAGAGAAAATAACATAAAATACCTTCCCACCAAAAATCCAATGCAAAAGTAGATAACCAGAATCCGAGAAATAGGAAACCTTCAATTATCAACCCATTGCCAAGATTTCAGCCAACCACCATGAGCAAGTTTGAGGTTCTCTACCAAACCGACTCAAATCACCAAATGCGCGTTATGAGTCCCGATGAAACTTTCTTCGGGAACACATTCTCCACAATATTCATCATGAGCTTCAACTACCAATGAGAAATGCGTGGGAAGAGGATAGAGAGCGTGCCAAGTAGCAAAACCCCACTCTATCATTGGTAGTATAACCTTATGTAACAAACTCGCGCAAATGCGCGCAAAGATTGCCACTAATGAAGGCAATGAACTTTGCTTTATACCTTTGAAGGATATAATTTGCGCTGTCATATCTTTGACAAGCTGCACGGAGCTTGAGAGTATTTAAATTCTAGACTTGGGATATCTGGGGCAGTACAGTATTAGTTCTGCAGATGCGATGCAACGCAAATATATTTTACATGAACTGCTGGTCTGTTATATTCATCGTGCTTGGTCGTCGGGCGAGCCTTATATTCTTGGTTGCATGAATATGGCATAATGATCTTGAAGCGCTAGATCCAATCTCAGAAGAGAGATATCTTATCCTTTCTTTTGCTCTTACATTCGTCTTCAACCCCATTGTTGAAAGCGTAAACCTCGGAGAGCCTGGAACAATGTTTTAATTATTTTGCGTTGTAGGCTTTTGATCGGCAAGCTCTAGCGTGTTTCAGGGGTCATTTTCTGCAAGGGGGGCACGTTCCAGGTACCATAGTGCTAACAATCAAGCTATTTCAACAAGGTTCTTACCAACACCTCGGGACGAGATTTCAAATCTGATGTGGGTCAATATTATAGATATATGAGACAATGACTTCATTGATCCATCTCTCTTCATATATCTCTAAAGGGTATAAAGTGCTAGGTAAGGATGAAGAATACCCCACAAAAAGGGTTCTGATTCTGGCCAGCGTTTGTTCCTCATCACCATCCTAAGCGATCAATCCAACATCCAACATACAACATCATGAGCAACCAGATTATGTCCTCGAAGGTCGACCATGGTTGAACCACTTCGGCCTCTTCTCTATGCTGTTGGTGATATCTACAACCTCCCAAGCTGTTTTCTCGTAAAGATGTTCAACTCTATAGTTGAAGCCTGGTGCTTGAGTCCTAGACATCTATCACATCAGTGTCTATTCGATACCACAAATCGACGATTTGACACACATAGCTGGTAAATATGGGTTGTTGGTCGAGTAAAATAGAAGAGAAGTATCAGGGAAAAGAAATTAGTTCTATTATTTCCGAGGAATCTGGTATGTACCAAACAATATGATCTATCTACAGAACATGCACACTAATTCGTTCTGTAGATGAATATAGCAATCACCGCGGACGATCTGACGAACGGGACAAATTTCACAGGGAAAAAGAACTATGTCATAGCAGGAGCAGACAATCTGAAGCCGAAGAACGGAAATATCTTGCAGAAGATGAGAAACTCCAAATGAAAGGAATGACCGAAGAAGACTACTCGCGATTTCGCGATGCTAAGGAAATGAGGATGGAAGAAGATCTGGTAAGAGATATAAGTGAGTTAGAGGATGAGCATGAATTTATGGAAAGAGAAATGAGGGATATTGAGAGTGGATATGGGTATGAAGGACGATATATGGAGAGAGGGATAGATGGAGATTATGAGATTAGTCCGAATAGTAGGACATATCGAAAGGATGATGACAGGTTAGTTTTATTAAGATTTTGACATGAGATTGTTTTGGAGAAAGGGCTAATTAGTATTAGGTCATACTACAGTAGTGATGTTAGCTCCATGCTCTCTGTATTTCATGAATCGCCGGAGGAAAGCTAAGTTTATGATTTTCTTTGGTATAATCCAACCAGCTATCAAGTGTATAGTTTTTGGGAATTATATCTAGATAGCCAGGAGATTCATGATATATCCTAATCATGTATGGAAACCTCTCATTTCATTACTCCACTCATCGAAAAGTGTTTCCTTTTCAGTTCATAAGATTGTTAGCCAGCAGGCAAGGCTTAGTTTTTAGATGTACGGTCTCGGTGTTCTTTTTAAATTTACTAAGATCTTACTATTTCAAATATATCCAAATCATTAAACCTGATATATTTATAAATTGCAATACTTAGTAATATACACGTTGCCGTCTCGCTCAAACACATTATCCGCTTTCTACAATCGTATTTTCCCACCCATCAACCATCACAACCATCACAACCATCACAACCATCAAAAACATACATCCACAACAACCATAAAAACAATCAACCCCCATCCCCCAGTAGGTACCGAAACAACTAATCGCTCTATATATCATAAATTACATACATATCAGCACCTAGTACCTACCTACCTAATACATCCCTTCCTCACCCACTAATCCAAAACAAAAACTACATAGTAATCGTAATCTTACCAGTAAGATTATATATTTCTCCATCAACAAACAAATAACAGACACAATCCCAGTCTTACCACCACACCCATCCATCTATCCATCTATCTGACTCCTAAATCCCACAAACCCCCAATATCATCTCCACCTCCGCCTCCACCACCACCTCCATCTCAGTAAATCCTCTCCAACCTCACAAATTGTTGAAAAGCCCAGTAATTTAATCTCAAATCTTCAAATCTTCAAATCTTCAAATCTTCAAATCTTCAAATCTTCAAATCTTCAAATCCCAAAATAATTTCTATAACCAAAATAATAATACAGCTAATCATACATCCACATCCATATCTACTCAAAAATCAAAAAATCAAAAATTCAAATGATAAGCTAGCTAGCTCTTCTCATTTATATCCATTCAATACCTCAATACCTAGGTAGATAAGGTTAATTTAGGTCCCGAGGTCATTGGTTATGAGGGGAATGCATGCTAGGAAGAAATAGATATAATGAAATATAATAAAAATATAACACAGTAAAACAAAATAATACTTACTCAGCCAACTCCTAATTTCCAACTACATAGACACAAGATCTTAATTTAAAAAGAGCAACAACTAAGTAACCTTACTCAATTCCAATTCGACGAGATGAGATGAGATGAGAAAAATTCCTCATAAAAATTTTCATTAACATATATCTCATTTCACAATAATATATACAGTACAGTACAGTCAGTACATAAGCTCTCCTCTCCTTATCCCTTGTAAGTCTTTCTTAAAATAAAACGGTACAAGCGAGCACACCCCCCTTCCCCCCCCCCAACCAACTTTTACTTACACCTTTCCTTTCTTTCTTTTTCAAAGAGGAACCTTCCATTTCCTACACCGGCATCTCCATCCCTCGCTAATTCATCGACTTCCTTCATCTTCAAGAGGTAGCACCTTGGACGAATTAACTGTCTAAACGGCCGCAAGGACCACCCCAGAG